CAGGTCTCCGACGTGCAGATGGGCAAGTGGGGACTCTTCCATGAGCAGGGGGTGGACATGGGGGCGGGGGGGGGCAGGTCTCCGACGTGCAGATGCGCAAGTGGGGACTCTTCGAGGCGAGTCTCAAGCCTGGTGCCTGGAGGGAGGCGCTCTGGGCTCAAAGCCTAGCTCCGACACTTACAGCCACATGACCTGGAGCAAGTTCCCTGGCCTCCTGAGGCTTCGGCGCCTTCACCTGAAGTACAGGGGGGCCATAACGCCTCGTCCTCGAAGGGTTGGGCAGGGACCAAGTGAGGCCACGTGCACAAGCTGCTGGCACAGGGATGGTGCTCTACAGGGGGGCCCGCGACAACAGCGTCCCAAGCTGCCTTCTTTCCCCTGGATCTGGACTCAGTGTGCAACCCACCCCGGACCGCTTCTGACTTTAGACTAGCTGGCTTCCTTCTCGAAGTTTCCTGTCAGAGACGCTTACACACGCCCAGGGCTCTGGATCTTCCGCACTTCCTCAGACTCCTGGTGTGTCAGACCTGTCTTAAACTTAGGAAGAAAAAGAATATAAAAAAGCTTCCAGGTCTGCTTGGGACTCCGTCTAGCTACCGAAAAGAAGGCGTGTGACGAGGCAGGCCCTTCACTGACGCGAGGGCTGCTCTTCAGCAGAAAGACCCAATGCAGGTCTCCGTCGTCAGCTGCGGGTCCATCTTGCCAGCTGTGGGCCAGCACGCCGCTGTTTCCTTCCCCTAGAATACTTCCTGATTTCCCATGACCGAAACACCTACATCTGTCAGCAGTCAGAATACCTTCTGTTTTGGTTCCTACTGGGCAAGACGGAGGGGAGGTGGGAGGGAAAGAGGGAGCTGCAGGGGGTCGTGTCCTCACACAGGCTGTAGCCAGACTGGCCTCCAGGCCCCGGGGCTTGGTGCTGTTCACTTTACCATCTACCCAACCGCCCGGGAGCCAAGGCACAGTCACTACAGAGCTGCCAGGCCACGAGGGCAGAGAGTGCCTTAGTGCTAACGGAACGGAGCACGGCCTGGGGACCACTGGGCCATGGGGGTCGGGGACAACGCTGCGGGCTGATGCCGTCAGGGCAGGCCTCTGAGGTGGGGGATTCCAGAAGGAAGAGGCCCAGTCACAGTAGCGACAGTGAGCAGGAGCTTTCTTGGGTTGGGTGATCGGGCTGGCTTTATCCATGAGGTCACAACATGGCAAGTTCAGTCACTCTCCAGTAAGAGAACATAGGAGTGAGGGGATAGGTACACTTAAGCCTAAAAATTCCTGTGCTGTGGGCCGCGTGAAGGTGAAGTGCATCTCCTCCCAAGCGGCAGAAATCCCAGGTGATAAATCTGACGGGTCAATCCTAGCCCTCCTCTGAATTCTGGGCAGGAGGAGAGGAACAGAGATTTCAATACGAGTCAGTGAGAGCATCACAAAACTCCCTAACTGGACGGAAAGCGCATCAAGAAACGTCTGGACCTGGCAGTTGTGTCGTTTCTTTCTCGAGCTTCTGAACAGCCAGTGCTTTGCTGTAGAAAGTGGGTTCAGGCCAAACTCTAGGGGCTGACTAACACCAGGCAAGGCTGCCACACGGGGAACCTGACCTTTTCCTGTGGGGCCCACGGCAAACGCGTGACATTTAATATGGTGGCACTTTATGCAGTTACTGCACATATTTAAAAATTGGCAAAACTCCCCTCGTAAACCTTGCTGGAAAAGAGCGAGCCCAGAACACCGAGAGGGCCATGCGGACTAAGCACTTCCAGGGCTCCCTGAGGCACCGTCAGCACCAGGAAGGGTCGCGGGGCCGGGGCCCTGAGCATGAGCAGCGCAGGACGCCGGCGACGGGCATGGCACAGGTGGGCGCATGGAGGGTACCAGGCCTGCCTACATGTTTACTGCTGTTAGGGCTCTGGGAGCGCGTCTCAGGAGCTCACGCGACTTTGGGGAGAACACGTCTCCCCAGGCGAGATGGAATCTGAGTTTCCTTCCTCAGTTTACCCAGCCTGACTAGTGCTTCCGAAAGATCAACGGGATTTTTAAAGGGCAGCACGTGGCTCTGAGCTCGGCTAAGGGCAGCATAGCAAGGGTTGCTCTCATGGGCTGAACTGTGTCCTCTTCAAATTCCAGTGTTGCAGTCCTAACCTCCAGAACCTCAGAATACAACTGTGTTTGGAGATACGGGCTTTAAAGAAGTCATTTAGTTAAAATGACACCATTAGGGCAGTCCCTACTCCAATCTGAGCGGTGTCCTTCTAAGAAGAGGAGTTAGGACACACAGAGGCACCAGGGTGCACATGCTTAGAGGGACGCCCATGTGAAGAGGCAGCAACAGAGTAGCTGTCAGTCTACAAGCCTAGGAGAGAGGCCTCAGAGGAAGCCAAACTGCCGACACCTTGATCTGGGACTTGCAGTCTCCAGAGCTGTGACAAATAAATTTCTGGTTTAAATCGCCCGGTCTGTGGTATTTTGTTATGGCGGCCTGAGAAGATTAATACAGTTGCCCAAGCAAGAAAGGCCTTCATGGAGATGCTGAAATCGGGGGACCACCAGCGTTCCTGGGAACTCTCTGACAAGGCTCAACACTGACCACTCCCGAGCCCTGTTTTGAGGCACCCTCCCTTTCAGCCAAGCAGCCAGTCCTGCTTCCCACCTATTCTGGTCCTTCGGTAAGAAAGCACAACGGCCAGGCTTTTCATGAGCACTCAGGAAATGGAGGTGGCGTCTACTCACTGTTCGGCCACGTTTGGGTCAAGGGAATCCGATTCGGTGGGTGTTTCGGGCAAGGAGGAGCCGGACTCCTGTATCTGGCACAGCTCCTCATCAGTGATGATGTCGAACACGGCGTCGTCAGGCAGCCTGGAGTCTGCGCTTGCGCCTGGGCGGCAGAGGCAGATCAGGGGAGGAGAGAAGCGCAGTGGTTACGCACAGCATGGGAGGGAGCCTCGGGGGCCGGACGGAGTGCAGCCACGCAAGTGCTCACTCAAATGACAGCGACTCTGTCCAGATGTGAGAGAGAAGGCTGCTGGGACACTCCAGAAAAGCAGAGGTGGGACTCCAGGTAAAAGTGAACGCATGGCTTAAGAGATTTCTGTGAAGCCCCTCACTTAGGGGCTTAGATGGGTTTCAAGCTCTTACATAGTCCCCAAGGCGCCTTATTTAGAGAAAAAAGCTCACCAAAACCTTATCAGGAAAGAACCTAACAGAAAAGTAAACACACTTTGCACTGCTGAATCCTTGATCCATAAGACAGGAACACTACCTCTTGGCACCTCCTTGAAAGCAGGATTCCGTCTGGGCTGCATTTCCATCCCAATCCACTCGGGGGTGGGGGTGGGGGAGACCCTCCCTCGGCTCGGGGAGCTGCAGCAACCATTGTGCTCTAACCCAGGGACTTGTGTGTGACTTCGGGCCACTCGGTAGGAAGAATGTCGTGTGCCTGCTCCTGGGCCAGTCACCCACCCACAAGCACGCCTTACACGTGTCAGAGAAAATGTGATGGCAGGTCTGAGGCAAAAGAAAAAAGGAAAGAAAGAAGACAGAAAGACAGAATGAGAGGGGGAGGAGGGAAGGCAGGCAGGAGATGAGATGACCTCAGCACTCTGGCACTGTTGTCGCTTGAACACCCACGAGCCGAGTCGGGCAGGGGGAAGATTCCTGGGCTGTTTAGCAAGACCAATTCATACGAGCTACAAGTTCCCAGCTGGTCCTGCCACACGGCTACTGGGACAGGCTGTGCTTTAGAAGGAACGTTCTTCGGCTTGTCTGAAGTCTGCATAATGCACGCCTCGAGGCACAGGCTGAAAAGGGGGACCAGGAGTTGGTTTCTTTCCATAGGCCCAGCCACACTCCTGAACCTGCCTTCCAAGACTGGCAGAAAGAAGGAAGAAGGAAAAGAAGGGAAGGGAAAATGAGCATCAGGAACTCAAAATGATGTCCACTGGGAGGTATCAAAAAGACCTAAATAAATGGAGAGCTATACTACGTTCATGGATTAGAAGTCTCAACTGTGATAAGATGTCAATTCTCCTCAAACTGATAAAGAGATTCAATGCAATAATCCCCACCAAAATTTCACCAGAATACTTTGTAGAAATTAACAAACTGATTTATGTGGAAAAGCAAAGAAGCTAGAATGGCCAACACTTTGATAAAGAACAAAATTGGACAACCCACTCTACCTGATTTTAAGACTCATTATAAAGCTACGATAATCACAACAGTGTGGTATTGGTGAAAGAATACCACACTGAAAGAGCACACAGATAAATGGAATGGAAGAGAAAGTCCAGATGTAGACCCACATATATAAGGGCAATTGATTTTTGACAAAGATGCAAAGGCAATTCTATAGGAAAAGAATACGCTTTTCAACCAACGGTATTAAAACAATTACAACTGCAAAAAACCATCGGCAAAAAAATGAATCTCTACGAATAACTACCATATACAACAATTAACACAAAATAGATCAGACCTAAACACGCAACCTAAAACTATAAAACTTCTAGGAAGAAAACAGAAGATCTTTCAGTCCTTGGGTTAAGTAAAGATACATGACACCAAAAGAAAATAAAAAAATTGCTCTATGAGAAAAAAAAATTGATTAGACTTCATCAGAATTATAAACTTCTGCTTTCTGAAAACCATATCTGCTCTTTGAAAGAAAATGAAACTACAGGCTATAGATTGGGAGAAGATATTTGTAAAACATGTATCTGTCAATAATTTGTACCTAGAATATATAAAGGGCTCTCAAAATTCAATAATTCAAGAAAGTGTTTTAAGTGAGCAAAGACTGGAAATGATGCTGAGCAGACGAGACTCAGGTCTGCTGTGCCATCTCAGCCCTTCCTCCCGGCACATCCACACGCAGCCCGAGAGGGCGGCCTGAGCTGCTCTGCTAGGCCAGGCCTGGAGCCGACGCAGCAGGAACTACAACCGCTTCCTTGTACTGAGCTGAGTGAAAGCACACGAAGGGGAATGCATCCTGCTTGGCCCCTGGGAGAATGTGAGTCACAGGAAGGGAGTGAAGGACGCGGTCATTTCCAGACACAACATCGGTTACTCTGGGAGACAGGGTGGAATATGGGGGCCGAGGCTGTGGGAGATAGCGTCCTCCAAGGTGTGGAGAATGCAGTATGTGAGCTAAGAGCAACAGGGGCCTCATGTTACACAACGCTGAATCATATCAGGAGAAAGTTATTCCCTTTTCAATTCTCTTTCCATCCTAATGACATCAAAAAGAAAGTCTTAGATTGGTGCTACTACATTTTAAACACCTTTTAAATGCCTAGTTGGAAATCACTGAATCGAGCTTTTTAGAACTAACTAGCCACAATGTGATAGCAATGCGGGGGGGGGATGGGGGTAAAGGTGGGGGGCAGCACCTTGAGAACAGCGAGGGCAGTGGTGGGAGACTGACCTTGGCCTGCAGGGGCCTGGGCCCCAGCTTGGGCTGGTGATGGTGTGGGGCTGGGCTCTCCCTGGCTGGTGCCCGAGCTGGTGCTGTCGGGGGAGCTGGGGCCTTCACTGAGCTTCTGGAAGCAGGCTCGGCAGCAGCGCTCCTTCCGGCCACTGTGCTTTGTCAGGACGTAGTTGTTGCAGCAGTAGTAACAGAAGATGCGGCCACATACCCTGGGGACCAAAGAAGCATGGGCTGTGAGGACGACGTGCTGGGGGCCGCATGTGATCTGCCTAGTGCCAGAACTGGGGTCTGCATTGGGTTCCAGACGCCACATGGCTCTCGTCAAATCTGGCTCTGCCCCCACTTTGGAGTGAGACCTTAAGGCCTATTTGATAAGATTCCAATAAAGCCATGATGGTAGGCTTAGTGGGAGGTTTTATTTCCTAAGGTTGTGGGAGGCAGAGGTGGGGTAAAGCGTGTGGCCAAGCCCACCTTCCCTGACTCAATGATGTGCATTCCACGCCTCAGCCCCACGCGAATGGTCCTCCCTCTGTCCTGGCCCCATCTGAGATCCTTTTCTGCCTACCCTTCACTGGGCCCCATGAGGGTCTCTGCTCTCCATTCCTCCAGTAAAGCCTCAGTCCCCACTCGCCTGGGGTTCCAGCAATGCTCTTTCCTCTCCAGTCCCTGCAGGCTGAGGGAGGGCCCAGGGCTGCTCGTCTCTGGTGCTCCACATCCCTGCAGGTCCCCTTACCTCCACCCACACCGCTCTATTAAACTCTCTTCTCTTTCAGGGATTTCTGAGTGCCCTGCTATTACCCTGCCTAACACAGCCTCCTCACCCAGTTTCCTTACAACCATAAAGCACTGTCCTCTTCCTAGACAGTCAGCCACGGTGCCAATGCCTGTCTGAGCCATTTGCTCTGGTTCTAGGCCCTGCTGGGGGTCGGTGCTGGCCTGCCCGCTGCCTGCTGACCTGCAGTGGTGTCGCCGCACCATCCAGCTGAACTCGCGCTTGCAGTCAGAGCAGTGAGTGGTCTCTGCGTCCCCAAGCCACCTCTCCTCAGCACTGAGCTTCTGCTGGAACTCCAGGGCATCTGACTTCTGCCAGAGAGCATCCTTATCCCTGGGACAAAGAAAAAGAGAAGAACGAATCCATGAAAACAACAGAATTATCCTGATTCATTTCGAAAGACTAACTCCAAATTTCCCAAGACACAGAAGGAAAATTCACTTTTACCTTGGAAGCACACCCCTCTCTAAGGCTTCTCTGTCACCCCGTATCAGTCCCAGACTCAGCGGACCCTCCGAAAATGCGAGCCCTTAACTGACACCACATGTTTGGAGACACAGAGGAGTGCCTGAATGTACATAAAAGGCTCTGGCAAATGCAAGAGCTGCTGGCATGGACAAGGGTCACACACTGCTCGGGCATCTAAACGAGTGCATAGGGCCACTGGAAGTATAAGCTACAACGTGCTGTCAGGATTACATGACAGTCTGTATGCTGTGAGCCCAAGGACCACAAATGCTCTGCCCATGCAAATCTTACGTGTACTCGGGGCCCTTTATGTTTTTATGGTTTACGGTTCAAACAACAACTAAACACTACAGAAGATCAAAGATTTCCCAGCCTGAAAACCTGATGGAGTGTTATCTTCCCTTCTCCTCCAAGAGAAGGTGCCGTCGCTCCAGGAAGCGAGACTGAAAGAGGTGGGAGGCTTTCCGGGAAGGCCTGGCACGGTCCAGCTCTGCCCAACACGCCAGGGAAGGTGTGCACAGAGGCCTCCTTGTGCTGCTAAATGGCTATTTCAGGGCTTATGGCTTCTGATATGAGGGTTAGAAAAAATTATAAGGCAACTGGAAAAATTTTGAAACTGACTAGATACTTGGTGATATTAGGAACAGAGTCAATTTTTAAGTGTGGTAATGATATTGTGGTTGTTTAAAATGCAGGGTCCTTGTCTTGGAGAGACACATACTAAAACATTTGACAATAAAATGTTATCTGGGATTTGCTTCAAAAGAATCTGGGGAGGTGGGGGAAATGGGTGGGACTCTGGGTGAAAAGGTCGCCCAGGAAGTGAACTGTGTTGAAGCTGGGGTGCATTATGTCATTCTATTTTTGCATAGTTGAAAATTTCCACAAGAAAAAGTTAAAAAAATTTTTGAATGGCTTGCCAATGTTGAAAAGCCAGGACAATTTCACATAAACATTCAGATTCCCACCTTCTCTTAGAAATAAGGTGATCTGGGTACCCCCGTTTCCCCAAGTGCCCTCTTGGCCGAGTTCATGTGTTTACATTAGCTGTCTGCTCCTTGCACTGGAGTTTAGGAACCCTGTTACTGGGGAGAGTGGGATGGAGGAAAAGGAGAAAAGGGCTCAGAAAAGACGGGCAAGGGAAGGGAGAAATTCTGAGATACCAAACGCCACCGATTGTCACTCTGTGGCTAAGCACATAGAAATGTGGAAAATTCACTGCATGGCAATATGAAAGCACAAACCCACACTAGTGGTAACAGTGAAATCCACTCAGAAGGCTGCTAAGGGCCCGAGCAGACCTTGTGTGTGAGGGGGAGTGGGGGGGGTGGAGGTGGGGGAGGGGGCTCCTTAGCAACAGAACGCACACAAAGGTGGGGGGCATTTCCCCTGAAGAGTCCTTATAAGAACAGCTGCATTTCCTTAAAGAAAAACCCAGCTTGGAGGAAACCCAGCCGCATGTTTGTCCCTCATTCACCTGAGCAGCTCTATCAGCCGTTCCTCCAGGTACTTCTTGGTTCTATTCAGGTCATCCAGGTCAGCGAGCAGTTTCTGGTCATTCTTCTCCCGGTGTGTCACCTCCTGGCAGAGTTTGTTGCAATACTCTTGGATTTTTGTCGTGGCTTTTTCAAGTTCCTGCTGGGTCCTGGTAGAGGCGTGGTCAGTGTTCCCAGTTATCCACTACGTCTGGACTCACCCAGGCCTCTAATGAGGGGTCCCGCTGCCCGCCCAGCCTGGCCCCCTTCACGGGGAGGGAGCCCCTCGGCACCACCTGCGCACACGTGGAGCATTCCCCTAGCCTTGAAGACTCCCCTCACGCACCCCAACTCCACACACACACACACACACACACCCTCCCCCGCCCTCCCCACCCCCCCAGTACCCTACAGTAAAACAGAACACAAAACTATCTGTCAAAATATTTTTTAGGTAGGTAGTTGTTGAAAAAACAGACTCTGGAGCCAAATGAACACATCACTGACATACTATCTGACCCTGGGATGGCGACTTAACTCTTCTGAGACTCATTCTCCTCATCTATAAAAATGGGATTAAACAACACAGTCCTCATGGGACTGCTGGGAGGATTAAAGGACCAAATAGTTGCAAAATATTTAAAAGTAGTGCCTGTTCCATTTTATCTAAGTGTTTGTTTGCTGTTATTACCGTCACATCCCAACTTTTATTTCCTGTTAGTTTTTCCAAAACATGACGCTACTGAACTGAACTGTGGCCTGCCCGAGATAAGAAAGCGGGACTAACAGGAAGGTCCTGCTGTCTACAGGGCTGTGACAGGCAGGTGGCCAGGGTCTCTGTGGCATGCTTCGGGTACAAGAACTTGAGTCTGTGGCTTTTCTTGCAAAAGGACTTCTTTAACCTCATACATGGCTACTTTCTAAATGACTGCACTCGACACCCCCTCCTTCCCTGAAGGCTCTACCACTGGTCGCGTGGGAGGACTGTGTCACCAACCTGTCCAAGTTTTCACGTAGGGCAGCCGCTTCCTCGTCCTTCTTCAGCACGATGGCCCGGTACTCTGAGAGGTGGCTGCTGGTGCGGCTCAGCCTCTCTTCCGTATCTGCCCGGGCGGCCTGGCGTGGGACACCAGGGAGAAGACGCTCAGCTTGCAAGGCCATGTGCCAGATGCCATAAAGTCAATGGTGTGCTTTCTACCCCATCTGGCTGGGTCACTTCTAACTAGAGGGGCGTTTGTTTGTTTTTAAGTGCAAGAGGCCAAGAACCTTTGTTCTTACTTGTGGAGTGTGACACACTCCTATTTGTAATTTTGTCCCCTAAGCATGAATCACAACTGGTTGTGGTGGCTGGAGGGATGGCAGGTATCAGAATCTCTAGGGTGGGGGTGGAGGTGGCGTGGCAGGGAGCAGGGTGCACCTAAGACAGGTTTCAGCGCCACCCCTGCTCCCGCGCAGTTCAGTCGCTGACTTGGCAGACGCCTGCAGAGAGGACTGAGGACAGCTTATTTCCGCTCCACAGGGCTGGGTGAGGAACACACCTGGCAGCTTCAGCCAGGTGTCGTCCAGGGAGCGGAAAGGGACCGCGATACAAACTCAGGGTTTCTACAAAGGTGAACTGATGACCGCTTCAGCTCGGGAACTGCAAGTCCTATAAGGAGCCCTTCAATGGTCCAGTGAAAACCAATCCAGATCCCCTTGCCCTGGCGGGTCCACGCACTGGGAGTGGGAATAACCAGGCAGAGGCTGCCACGCCGAAGTCTCCGCTCGGGTGGCCGGGCAGGCCAGCCACTGATCAGGGCTCCCGGACACGCGCTCCCCAGGGCCACACAGGCCGGGCCTACCTCCAGCTTCCCCACAGCCTCCTGGGCGGCCTGCAGCTGCCGGCTTTGCTCTTCAAGCTGACCCCTGAGGCTCCTGCACTCTTCACTGGCAGTCTGGAGAGACAGGGATTGTAGAAGTGGGGTCCTTGTCCTGAAACTCCCTCAGCCACATCCCCCAAATGGGTAAAAACAAGCTACCTCTCCCTTTCCCCCCCCAAACTCAATAAGCTTCGGGTTGCATCGGTAACAAAATCCTTCAAGCTTACTAAGAGACTTAGCTTGGTCCCCAAGCTTAGAATTTCATTTCTGCAACAGAAAAAGTGGCCTATGAGCCACATGGAGCTGCACTGGTTCGGAACACAGGGTGGGGGCACATCTGTAGGGACAAACGCAGTAACTGCCTAAGAGTGGGAGTCAGGAGCGGTCTGAGCGCACAGCCCTGGGTATAGACCAGTGATAAGCACTGGAACCAAAGCCCCACGGCCACCCTGCCTTTACTCTCATTCTGAAGCCCTTTTCTTTGTGCAGTATCAAAGCACATGGTAACCGCTGTTCTCAGAAGCTCATCTATCCCAAGGGCCTTGTGAAACGTAACTGTCATGCACCTGCTATCAAAATGGCACCTGAAGGGACAGAGAACCAGAGACAGGACTCGAGGCAGACAGGAACTGCTGCCACTCTGCAGTAGGCTCTAGAGGCTCCGGCAGGGGTCTCAAACTCACATGCCCAAAGGGGCTGGACGAATACAGAAAGGAGTGCAAGCAAAGAGCAGAGGACGCGTGCCTTCTTTAAAGTGGGCAGCCCCACGCAGCTCGTGCTGACTCCTGCCAGGTGGGCATGAGGGCACAGGCTCTATGATCTCCCGAGATTTCAAAAGCTCCCAAACTAAATTTGTAAACATCCTGCTCTTTAAATGTTGGCTACTAATTTAAAAACAAACTTGTTTGCAATGGCCTTGAGTTTAGAATTTGGGGCTAAGGCATGGCTCCCCAGCGCTGTGCCCCTAACATGTTCCTGCAGGGAGGAGGAGGCTGAGCTATGACAGCAGGATGGGGCCGTGTCTGCCTGGGCATCATGGGCCACGTGGCTGCAGGTGCGTCCTAACCTCTTGTGAACCCACCACGCCTGGCTGCAGGAGACAGGTGAAGCCCAGATGGTCAAGACCAGGGTTACCTTAAGTTTGCTCTGGTAGTCCATGATCTCAGTGCTCAGCTGGAACTTGAGGGTGTCGAGCTCCTGGTGTGCAGTCTCCTGGAGGCTCTGGGCCCGCTGTTCGGCCTGGGCCAGCTGGGCCTGCAGGCCAGGCAGTGAGCTGGCTGCCTCCTCGGCCCCCTTCAGCTTCTCCTGCAAGCTCTCCTTCTCTCGCTGCAGCTCTGCCACTTGGTGTTCCAGGCCCTCTCGCTCCCTTGAGGCCACCTCTTTGGCATCCTGGAGCTCCCGGGTGGTGCAGGCCAAGGCGCCCTCCATCCTCTCTTTCTCCGCGGTCAGCACGCAGACCTGGATGCCCAGCTCGGCTGTGTCCGTGTTGGCCCGGTGCAGCTCCTCCTGCAGCTCAACCTGTTCCAGATGGGCTTCCTGGGAGCTGCATTTCGCGTGGGACAGCTCCTCCCGCAGGGCCTGGAGCTCCTCCACCCTCAGCTGGGCCACGTGGGCACTCTCGTCCTGCAGTGTCCCTTCCCGCACTGAGCACTGCAGCAGCTCCTGCACATGCGCCCTATTGAGGGCTTCGTTCTGCTCCTTGAGTTGCTGCACAAGGGCCTTGTGCTCCTGCAGAGCTGCCTCAGCCACGCTCAGCTGGTTCTGCACCTTCTCCTGGTCACCCAGGGCTGCCTGGAGCATGGCCCGGAGGTCCACCACCTCAGCCTGCAGTCGCTGGGTCTCCCCCTGATGGCCCTCCTGGGCAGCTAGCGCATGGGATGCATTTTCTTGAGGTGGGCCCAGCCCCTGGTGGCCCTTTTCTGGTGTGAGGGTCTCGATCAGCTGGGTCTGCTGTGGGCACTGGCTCTCCAGAGCCCTGCACTCCCCTTCCCGGGCCTCTGCCAGTTGCCGGCTCTGCTCTAGCTGCTCCCGCAGCTGCTGGCACTCGGCCTCCTTCTCTGCCATGTGGGCCCTCATGGTCTCCTTGGCCTTCTTCACAGCCAGGAGGCTTGCCTCCATCTGGTTACCCATGAGCCGGATGCTGGCCTGCTCGGACTCCAGAGAGGCCAGGGAGCCCTGTATGGTGGCCTCCCGCTGCTGGAGCTCCTGGTAGTCAGTCTGCAGGGTCTGCAGCTTGTCCTCCAGGAGCTGGTTGCGCGCACGCACACTCTGTAGCTCCTTCTCCAGCTCCCAGTTGGCCTGCTGGAGCACCTCCTCCTGGCTGCTCGCCTGCATCCCGGTATCGTCCATCGGTCCCTCCTGCAGGCCTCCCTGCTCCTCCGTCTTCTCGAGGGCCTGTGGCCGGGTGGAGCCCGGGGGTCCCAGAGCCTCACTCTTGTCCGCTGCCACGGGCAGATCTGGGCCTGGCTGCCCAGCAAGGCGCTCCAGCATCCCCACCTTCTGGCTGAGGTGGTCTTTGTCCTGGACAAGCTGCTTCTTCTGCTCCTCCAGGTCACTCACATGCTGGCTCACCTGTGCCAGCTGGGTCTCCAGCAGCTGCAGCTGCCGTGTCAGGGACCTGGCTTCCTGCTCCAGCAGCTTCCTCTCCTCTCGCTGATGCTGTTCCCCCCGCCTCGCCTCGGCAAGCTCTTCCTCCAGGGAGCTCAAGTGGGCCAGCGCCTCCTGCAGCCGTCGCCGGAGCTGGGATGTCTCCTGTCCCTTCTTGGACAGCTCCTCCCGGAGTGGGGCCACCTCCCTCAGCAGGCGTTCCAGGCCGGCCCGGGCCTCGTCTTTCAGCTGCAACTCCCTGGCCAGCTGCTCCAGCTGGGCACTCTGCTGCCTGTTGAGCTCCTGGACCTTGGTGCTCTCCCCTTCCAGGGCTCGAAGCTTCTGCCCCAGCTGCTGGATCTCCAGGGCCAAGTCGCCGGGCGTGGGCTCCTGCTGTCCCTTGGTGTCCAGTGCCGCATGTGTCTTCTGCTCCGCTGTGCCAGGCGGACTTGGGACACCGGCTGGAAGCTGGTTCTTTCTGCCCAGTGAGTCCCGCATGGCCTCGAGCTCCTGCACCAGGGGCTGCAGTAGGGACTCCAGCTGCCGTACGGCTGCGTGGTAACCCCCTTCCTTCTCCTCAGCACCCAGCTCCAGGGCCTGCAGGCACTTCTGCAGCTCCTTCATGGTGTCCTGCGAGGCCTGAGTGACTTCCCACTGCTTCTGGAGCTCGGCCACCATGCAAGTGAGGCGAGCGTTGTCCTCAGCTGCAGCGTGACCCTTCTCCCTCTCTACCTGCAGCTGCTCTCCCTGCAAGCTGATGGTGGCCTTCAGCTCCTGGTTCTCTCTGTCCAGCTGCTGCATTCGCTCCTGCAGCTGCTTCTCCCGCACCTCCAGCTGATCCAGCTCCACCCGCATCTCGTCAAAGCCCTCCAGAGCCTCATTGTTTAAGGGGCTGTTCAGGTCAAAGCTGGAGCCCATTTCCTGGGTCTGGGGAGGAAAAACCAAAAACAGGTGGCTTTGAGATGAAGCTACTTGGCTACCTGGAAAAGCCTTACCATTTAATGAGAACAGAAGTAAAAATACAGCAATTACGTGACCTAAGGTGAGTCTACTGAGCTATTCAAAGGACTAGAACCCCTTTGCTCCCAACACCTGCCAAAGGAGGTCAGCAGCACATCCTAAGGGCACAGCACCACACACGTGAGCTCCACTGAGGCTCAGAACTCGCATTCAGCCTCCTGTAGCTTCGGTAACATAGTGGATGTGGCTCTTGGATAAATTAAGTTATATTGAAACTGTTCACCACTGCACCATACCCACAGCTGTTGTGATTAAACTACAAAATAGGGCAAAAAGTTAGTCAATTCCCTACTTTTAATGCTGCTTATGTTGATTATTCTTATTTTGCTTGTTGATTAATTTCAGTGTTCTTTCCCACACAATTATAAACAGCTATGATACATTCACATTTCTAACAAATTTAACAAAACCGACCCTACCCACTAACGTTTACTGAGTACACACTGTGTCGCGTGCACACGCACCCGTACTCCCTCATTGAATCCCCACAACGCCCTGATCAGCAAGAGTGATTTTTATGATCCCCGATTTACAGATGAGCGAGCTGAAGCTCCGAGAGGGTGAGTCATCCTTCCAGGGTCACACAGCTGGGAGGTGACAGTTGGGATTTGACTCCGCGGCTTTTAACCACAGTGCTGAACTGCTTCTAAAGAATTTAATTTCTAAAACACCTAAGTTTTTTCCGGCTATAAAAACCTGGACTCTAGGAAACAGCGGGCATAACTGAGGGTTTCTGTCGCTCTGGTTGTAACATCAGATATCTGAGAGCGTCACCCTAAACAACGTGCCCTGGCTGACACTGTAGCCAGGAAATCACCAGCCTTTCTGACATTACCTGCAGGTAGCTGCTCACCAGGCTGCTCATGCTGGAGCTTCTGCTGGGCGGTTTCCACATGTAGGCCGAGGAGCCAGGGGCCAGGGTCCTCCTGTGGGGCCACAGGACAGACACACCTGGATCAGAGCCGGGAGTACACACACACACGCACACGCACGCACTCGCGCGTGCGAAGGTCTTGGTTGTCACTAGGCAACTAGGTGGTGACAGGGGGCAATGCCCTCCCAGACAGAGTATAAGAAGGCAAAACCCAACAGTCTCCACCAAAGAGCACATTTACATTGGCTAAAATTTCAACATGATGGCTTTCCTCCCAGTGCCAAAAAAGAACTAAGTGAACGTAATATTTTGTAATTTTTGGTTTCAATTTTCCTTAAGTTTCGGTGCCTGCCATAGTCGGTCTGTTAGTGAGGAATGAGTGGCCGTCAAGCTGGTAAATACAGGTGACACTGGGCTTAGGGGCTCGCGGTCACTGCTTTATAACTACACACATATAATGTGGCTGGATGACCTGCTTCTAGTTCTGGTAACTGCACTGGACAGTGTAGATATAGAACACTTCCCTCATTCTATTTTCAAATAAAAAAGTTCTATGTGACAGCTTAGAAACACAGAGACTTGTGTGAGAATTCTCGTTTAGTAGCTTCAGTGCAAACGAAACTTTTTTTATTTAACCAGAAGCTTCTCCTTAATCTACAATAATTGCAATTTAAAAAAACTTGTTGGTGTCCACAACCCAGCAATTCCACTTGTCATCATCTGCCCTAACGGTAGTCACATACACGCATCAGGAGGCGTATGGGGGTGCTCTTGGCAGCACTGTAATGGTAGAAAAAGTGGAATCATTAGCTCTATGCTGCTAGGGAAACAGATGAACTGTGGTTTATTCGCACAACAGGATACTCCACACCCATTTTTTTTTTTTTTTTTGTAAAGGGCCAGGTATAAATATTTTGGGCTCGCAAGCCTTATGGTCTGTCACAACTCTACTCTGCCACTGTGGCATGAAAGCAGCCACAGACAACATGCAAACGATGGGCAAGGCTGTGTTACACATTGCCCTGTGGGCCGTGGTTGCCGACCGCTACTCTACATCTATAGAATTCCATGGGCAGAAACAGATACAAATCTCAAAACCAAAGGGGAGTGAAAAAAGCAAGTTGCAAATGGTTAGCTATCTCATGATTCAATGTATGCAAAATAAAACTATATATACAAATAAAATATTAGTGATACACACGTAGTAAAATAATTCTTGCCCAAATTATCATGGATCATAAAACTAACAGGTGAGAGATTTATTAAAAGAAACAGGATAACCTAATCTCAAAGTATCTTACTACAAGATATATATTAATAACAATGGGAAAATAGTCACTTTAATAGAAACCTAAGGTGGCAGACACCACCTGAACCAAATTATCATGGTTAACCATGGTGCTCATAATGAAATAAAGGAGTATCGTGTGTCTCCAGATACAATGAACGGAGAAGGACACAACTTTGGAGGTATCCCTACCAAAAATGCTTAACCTGAAATCTAATAACGTAGAAACACTAGACAAACTCCCAATAAGGAACGTTTTACAAAATGACTGACCTGTACTTTTCAAAAATGTCTATGCTACGAAAAACAAAGACTGAGAACTGTCCCAAATCAGACTGTTCCAAATTAGAGACATGACAATTAACTGCAACATGTGACCCTAGATTATAGTAGACATTATTGAGATAATTCTCAATATTTAAATAAGGTCTGTAAATTTAAGAGTAACATTGTAATCGATGTTAGTTTCCTGATCTTGATAACTGCACTGAGATTAATAAGAGGATATCCTTGATTTTAGGAAACAGACAATGAAATGTATTGCAGGAAAGTGGAATCGAGTCTATAACTTACCCTCGAATGGCTTAGGGCAGGGATCAGCAAACTGCAGCTCGAGAGCCACATGGGGCTCTTTGGGTACGGTCTGTCTCAAAAGTTTGCCGACCCCTGGAAGAGCTAATCCTGTCCCTCACAACAATTTAAAAGTTATTCGAGAGCCATAAATATATTTTTACATAATCACCATTATGTGAATAACATCCTTTAAAAATTTTATAAATGAACCTATGATAGTTTTATTTTCATTTTCAATTTTACTGCAGAGCCACAGTTCCCGAGCCGCAGTTTGCTGACCCCTGGCTTAGGAAATAAACCAACATGTATGTATAAAGAATGATAAAACACCTGTGGTAAAATACTGATAACGGGGGAATAGAGCTGAAGGCATGACGAGTGCTCTGTGCCACTTTTGTAGCTGATCTGTAATTCTGGAATAATTTCAAAATCAAAAAGTTTTAAAAAGGACACATGACGTAAATATAGCAAAATGTTAGCTTTTCAATCTTGGTGGTTGGTACATGGATATCATTATATTCAGTACTATTCTCTACATACAAACTATGAAAAATTTCAGAAACCTGATTAACAGAAAGTAAGCAAAACAAAGAATGCCAGACTTGAGTTTAACTGGAGTCTGTGCCCTGGCCCTGCTGCCCACCAGCTGGGTGACGCTGGGCAAGTCCCTTCACTCAGAGCCTGTTTCCTCCCTCCCGAGTGGTTGTAAGGATTCAGCCAGATGGCGTGTTGAGTGCCATCCTGGTGTAGAAATGAAAACACAGCAGCCTCTGCAGCAACCTTACGTGGATGGGCTGTAGCTGTCACTGCCTAGGAGGCCTCCATGATAACTCCCTGAGAGCAAAAATAGGAAAAAGCCCACCTGCTCCTCCCCAGGCTGTCGTGTGAGTCCGATGACACATTTAAAAACCTCTGGTTTAGCATATGCATCTCCACTGACTCATACCGCCTGGTTAGCTTAAGGTTGGCGCCCGAATGTTATTCTGACTCACCATTCAACAAGGTCTAAAACGAGCAGGCATGCGAGCTGCAAAGCTATATGTAACTCACTGAGCAAACAGCTGTGCTTTGGGAGACGGGTCTTCCAAACTTCAAACAGCCCCTTCCCCTTTGAAGCTGAGCAATTCTTCAACATACCTGGCGAATGTCGGCCAAGCAGCATCCAGGTCATAGCCCCGCGACGCCAGGTCGAACTGAACGTCGGTCAGCTCGTAGAGCTGGCCCACAATGTCAGAGCTCAGCCGTGGCTTCAGAAAGGGGCTTCTTGCATAGTACCAGTCACTGCGGAGAAACACAAGGTGCCGATCACAAGACTGTACAGGCAAGAAAACAGCGAAATTAATCAGTCCTGTCAGTCGGGCTCTGCGTCATCCCGTTCTAACTCAGGTTACTGAATTAAACAGACGGACAGACAGACACACGCAACCCCCGTTCCCCCCTCCCCCAATTTGCTTTTCACTGTAGAAGCACAGAGGTCTCAAATAAGCTTGCTCTTGAAGTAAATTGCTGAAATGAACTAGATACTTATTTATTACTTCTATCATATCTAGTTTCTAAAAGGGATCTGAGAAACCTTAAATCTCAATTACTTGCCAAGAAAGGGTAGTTGTGGGGGAAAGAATACTTCCTTTCTGAAAGGTAACCGCATCTTCTATTCTTTCTGGAGAACTCGGCACAGGCACTGAGCTCACTACTAATTTCTGTCCTGACACTAGTTTAAATGGGAAGGAACAGGTGCCAGTCGTTTCACTTCCCGTGAGGTGATGGGAATTTAAAAGGACAACGCTGGTGAGTTTACAGAGCTGCGTGGCTGTGGTCTGTGGACTGTGATATACTGGAAGCCAAGCTCTTTAGGGCGGTTTTCACCAAACACCCAGAACAAAATAACCTTCAAATCAAATGTGTGAAGGTGAAGGTTCTCAACTCACGTGAATGCTCAAAACCCGTCACATGTCACATGTGCGAGAAATGCATCTTTCTGCAAATCAATCTTAAAAGTCACAAAATGAAACCAAGTATTTTTCCCCAACAGTTCTTTCTTTTAGAATTCAGAAGTGATTTCTTTCTTGGAGTAACTGGAAGAATGCTCCCTAGGGAGAGGGGCGGCAGAGCTGGCAGAGGGGCACTGGGTTCCCATCCTCAGTCCTGCCTCCCTCTCCTCTAGTTCCCAGGGCTTCATCACTAGCAGCACAAAGGCTCCCAAACTGGCCGCCCATCACAATCTCCAGGGAGCCCAGACACGCCCAGCAGGTGTTAACTTTGTGTCTGGGGTGAGTCTCCAGGCTCCATGGTGTTAAGACCCACAGGTGACGCTGCTGAGAGGCCAGGGCTGCAACCCACTGGGTCCAGGGTGACAGGTGGGGTGTGTCTGTCTATTCATTAGCTCCAGCACAACGGACATGCTATCCACGAGGGAAAACTACCTGGCACCAGGAGTTAGGAGACCTGGACCCAAGCTCCTGCTTTACAACTCAGCATCGCTGGGGCCTAGAGAAGGGCTTTAGCCTCTCTGAGCCTCAGTTTCCTCACCTGTAAACACTCAGTGCTACCTGCCCCATGCGTGTCAAGGACCGTGGCAGGGAGGCAGGAGAGAATGACAGATGTGGAAGGGCTTTGCTTGTGCCAAGTTGCCATACAAACTGGCGCTGCAGCTGCAGTTGTCCTTACTATAAATGAGGGGACTACGATTCATTTCTGAATGGTATGGGGGTCAACCCAGCACTTGATGTATTTACCTGGTCACTTTGGTGTTCATGAAGCACTGCTGTAAGGTGTCTGCCAACCTCTGGTGCACCAAAGAGTAGCGAATAAATGCTCTTCCTTTTCCCAGGGATGTTCGGAGCTGGAAAAAGGAGATCACATAGAAATGAAGAGTTGTTGGCCTAACTCTAGAGACCTGGCCTCAGAGATGGCTTGCATAAAACAGAAACAGGGCAGAAAATGTCACCCCCAATCCTACCCTACACATTGGCACTGGCTTCACTCATGTCCCTCAGATGACACGAAACGTTCGATAATGTCTCCATAGACAGCGAGGCCTGAAGTGGGTGGACTTCTTGCAGGCCTCCACCCAAGAATAATCTACAGACCCCAGCAAACATGGCCAGGAAGCTATGTTCGTGGGAGGCTCTCCAACCTCTGTGGACTCCTCAAATGTCACCCTCCCTCGTCTGCTCCATCAGAAGCTCTGGGTTTAGAGTCAGATGAAATTGTATGATTTAACTTGAAGTGTTTAGAATAAACCTTGGAGGTAAACGAAGGACTTCTCACACCTGAGCTTGAGCGAGAGATGGTCTCAGTTTGGCTAATGCAGCGGGGAGGGTGTGGGAAGAGGAGGGCAAAGGGCAGAGGTGCATAAGGGGGACTTCTAACAAGTCTTGATCGATGTATAACTCCTCCTCTGAGTCCTCATGAAACCATCAGTAAAATCCATGTATCTGTCAACACTTTCCTGGTTGGATTTCTTTTCAGCTGCATTTAGTCAGAAAGTGCCCAGGGGGTGAGAGCAAGCGATGTCTCTAGGTGGCCCAGTCACGGGGTAACGAAAACATGGGCATGGCTCTATTTCAGGAAGTCTGAGGTGGACGGTGCAGGCCTGTCTTCGGAACCTCTCCCCACCACGCCAAAACATGGCTTCTAAAGAAGTTTCTGGAAGCCTGTTGTGACGGAGGTGGGATACACTGGTCAGAGACTCTGCCAGCTGCGGTCACACAGTCACCAAGATGAATGGGATCAAGCGGACAGCCACAGAAGACGCTTGAGGCCAGTTTGCAAACCAGGATTCATGCTCTTGATGTTTCAGCCCCAGAAGCTCAAGATAAGTAGGCAGGAATTCAGAAGCTCTCAACCTACCACAGGCGCCTGTTCTGTCAGACTCTGGCTCCGAGTGGGGTGAGCAGAGACCCACACCCTCCTCACCCTTCAAAGGTCAGAGGTGTTTCGCTTGCTGGCGGGGGAAGGGGAAGCCGTGGTTTCACCAAGATGGCCATAACCCTCCGACTATTAAGAAACCGATTATGGCCCTGGATTGAGACAGGAAGGTGGGGGAGGGGAGGTACAGCCGCAAGCCTTGGCACATTCACGATGGTGCCAACATCCAAGCATAAGACACCTTTTAGCCCAGAGCTACTGCCGACTCAGGAAATGATACAACATGAAATAGTTCTAAAAAACAAAAAGGTGTGAAACCTCATGAACTACAGGGGCTGTGAGACATTTCTCCCTGTGGGCTTTATGGCTATGAGGCAACATCAGGAAGTCTGGGAATGAAGGTGGGCGGCAGCCTGGCTCCTGGCTTTGTCACCACCGCCATGGCATGGCTGCAGACTGCTGATCATGGCAGGTGATGCCCAGGGGAGAATCTTGATGGCATCCCCGTATATACAAATGCTTTTTCCACTGATGAGTGAAGTGAGGACAAAGTGTTCAGTGGTAATGAGAAACTCAGGCAGCGAGAACAGCTGAGCAAAGCATTGTGAAGCGAAGTGTGTATCACACACACATACCCACCCAGGCCTCACGAAACTGAATAAGAACCTCATGTAACTGCCTATGTCTGTAAGCTTATCCTTATTAGCAAAACGGCCATTGTAACAGCATTCGGAACATTGGATTTTTTAATGGAAAACAAGTGAGTCCATATTTTTTTTGGGTTTTTTGTTTTGTTTTGTTTTTTTGCTGAGCCATCCTACTACCTGTTGGCAGCTCAGTGGCAGCTCAGCTTGGGCCAGAGAGTGTGAGTCCATATTTTTAATCAGGCCTATTAACTGAATTTATTACATATGTATATATATATATATATATATATATATATATATATATATATGAGGTCTTTTAAAACATCTCTTGGGGAAGAGAACAATAGTTCCTTTGTACTCCTAATGGAAATACTGCACAGCCTTTTTTTATTTTTTGAGATGCTTTCATTACCTAATTCCTTAAATTTTTCAGCACTTAATCACACTCATATACACTAGATCAGGAAGCGATACAACAGCAGCACAGGACAGGGAAGTCTGTGAGGTACACCAGAGCTGATTCTGCTCTAAGTCAGACCTCTGTGCCAGGAGCCTGACGCCGCCACGCTGCACCCTGGTTCTGATTCTGCCCACTGTGGAGAGATGGGCACAATCTGGGCTGAACCCATTCTGCACCTTTAGAAGTGGCTGATTAGAGCCTCAGGCTGTTTCAGCCCAAATGGCTGCCTCCCACGTTTACCTTCTGGCTTGCTGGCCTGGGTGGCACTTGATTATTGATTAAAGTTAACCCACATACTCAGCAGCCCATCCTGCCTATAGGATGGTTGCTGCTGGATACTTGGTGAACTGTAATCGGTGCCCAGGAAGCCCAGGGACGATCGAGCCATTCCTCACAATGGGCTCCACGGAGCAGAGACTGCAGCACAGATGAGAGGACTGGACCCTACAGGTGGCGGAGCCCAAGCCAGCCACCAAACCCCCAACGAGGTTCACACAGCTTTTGCTTCTGGAAGTCAGTTTTTCTGGCCTTGGATTGTCTAAAGGTTTGACTGCATTATGAGAGAAGAAGAGGAAACTAGCCAAAAAGCAGATGTAAGCATTTCATAGCCCTGGCCAATGAGTATTAAGCTAAATTCATTTCCAGACTTCAGCTGTTGGGAGTCATAAAGGTGGAAGCTTCAGCTGCTCTAAAAATAGAAGAGAATGACAATGAGTGAGCACTCCTAGGTTTCTGGGGAGAAAGGCGACAAGGAGAACCCTCTCCCGATTTATGATGCATGAAAACACTGCTCCACGCCATGGGCCCAAGGGTTCCCTAGGCACGACCTCACAAGACGCTACATGGACATTAAGGAAATTTGCAGAACAAAATCCTCCAAGCCAGGATCTTTCCTCATTTTCTCAGATGTCAGAGGGGTAGCTGGTGGAAAATGCCCAGCTCTCAATGTCGGGGTATCTGTTATTCTCTATAAGAAGAAACCCGTCTGGCTGCAGCTGGCGTGGTCAGCAAAGAGTTCTTCCCAGAGCACGTGACTCTGTGGCCTCTGCAGGAGGCCAGCCAAGCAGCATATCTGCTGGCTTTAAAGTAACTTTAAACTTAATGACAAGATACTGAAAAGATGAAATGTATAAACCCCTTAGGCCTCCTGCCCTAAATCTAGGGGGTTACTTGCAAAGTTCTTTACTCGCAGATGGACTAGGTTTATGAGAAAGAGAGAGAGAAAAAGATTCATCAGGAGTGGCAGGTGGGGCAGAGGCAGACAGAAGGAGAAAGAGGATGAATGTTGTTGCTTTGGAGTTTTGTAAAATAGCAAAGCCACGACATTCTGCTCTGCAGAGGCTCAGAGCTTAATCTTAGCATTCTAGCATTTTAAGAAATGACTCTCATTGAGATCCCACATCACTCTCTTCATTTCAAATCCAAGTTTCCTAGGTCAACTGTAGGGAAAGCAGCCTAGCAAAGTTTAAGAATTTCCTCTAGGAAACTGATTTTTTTAAAAAGGTGGTGACCTGTGCTGTACACATCCAAGGGGCACCAAGAGCCGACCACAGTGTGAACAGCCCACCCTGACAGGTAATGTGTGTGTTGTAATGTAACAGCAGAGCCGGGACCCAGCCCGTCCTCAGCTCCGCAAATGCTCATGTGGGGCCTTCCCTGAGCTAACAGTGGGCACTGGTATACCTGGCCTGGATGTCTTCACTTCTTTACCACCATAAACCCCATTTCCTCACTCGTCTGCCTGCAGCACAGGCCTCTCTGTAAGAGATGCATAAGGCAGGCATCTTGAGACTTGAGAAGACTTGAGGTCCTTGGCTGCTTACCTCTGAAATAGACTTGACAAATCGGATCCCATCATTGGCTCCTTTCACCCTGGCCAGGCAGGCACAGAAGTAATCCCAGTAGTCCTTCTTGCTGCCCAGGAGGGTGGCCTTCTCTTTCTGATCGAACTGGGTATGGAAAAGGACATGAGAAAGGAGGTCCAAGCCCACGGCTGTTCATCCCTCCATTTCAATGATAAATAATAATAGCTTCTTAGTTGCCTAGCGCTGAGCAAGGCCCTTTACTGGCATTATTTTTATTTATTATCAAATGAAGGTGTTTTAACCCCCAATTTACAGGTGAGGAAACTGAGGCTAGGAGAGGTTAAGTAACTAGCTCAAGGTCATACAACTCGTAAGATTCAGGCATAAAAGCACCCCAACAAAGATTTATCTGTCCAGAGACGTCTGTCCACAGAGTTGGGAGTAAAGATACATAACAACATATGACAAAGAAATACACGTGTAAAGTCTTAAGGGCAACCTGAAGTGTGAACTACGACTCAATTTAAGGAAATGAGTAAGTAGCATTTTATCCCAGTTACTCAAGTGTCAAAAATGTTTTAATATACATACAATAAATTCAAATGTCAGCTATGAGTCATTTCAAATCCAAAACCAAAATGAGCTGATTTAAAAAAAAAAAAAAAAGGTCCACAAACATGTTCACAATGCAAAACAGAGAACGTGATGAAAAGGCATGTGAAGGGCGAGTCCTTCAACACGCTGGCTGTATACACTTTGGTGGGATATGACGTTGCAAACAAATGGTGTTCAAAATGTATAGGTGTATCTTTCTCTAACATAACATTTTAGAGCATTTTTTTCTGATTATATGCATATACAGTTAGGAAATCTGGATAAAACAAACAAATTTAGAAACTGTAATGCCTAATACCACCACCCTAAGATAAATTCTGTTAACAGTTTGATCCATTTTCTTCCTGTAGTTGCCTGCGGTATTCCACACCTGCGGTATTCTCTAGATCTGTGCTTCTTGAACCAAGCAGACACATACATTAGGCTGGGAGCGTGTTAAAAGAAAACTTCCTGGGCTGACCTCAAAGATCCTGATTTGGGGGGTCAGGTGAGAACCAAGAATCCATTTCTAACAAGCCCCCACGTGATACCTGTGCTGCTGGTCTATGGACCACACTTTGAGCAGCAAGGCTCTAAAATATAGGCCTCTGGATGTTTTCCAGAGGGTCTACATGCTCCTGGAAAATGTGTGACTGGTTATATATACACACATATATGCATGTCTGTGTTTGGGGAGATATTCCATACCTTTCACCAGACTCTCAAAGGAAGATTGTGGCTGTCCCAAAGTTAAGGTCTCTGCTAAACAGTGATCTTGTGACCTCTGCCTTAAGCTGACCTAAATCTCTAAAGAATGTTCTGGATTCTGAAATCATTCTAAGGGGCAACATTCCGATTCCCCAGGGGATGGCATTTGGAGGCCTGACCTTAAGTCTGACCAGGACGGCTTAGCGCTCCATGAGCTTTCTGGGCCATATTGTGAACGCTGATGGTCACCCAAGAGGGAAACAAGAGACAGCAGAGCAGAAATCAACACATTACAGGAGTCACTTACTTGAAGGAGATACTCAAGTTTGTAAGAAAACTTATGCAAGCTGGTGCTGTCATCTGTGATGGGTTCCCCTGCTTCCTTAAATTCTTTGCTTAGTTCTGTCACAGCATCTTCAAGACAACAAACAGGAACATGTTATCCAATGGAGACCGACCTCAGAGAAGTGAGAAAGCAGAGTAACTCCAAGAAGCATGAGGAGTAAGTGGTCAGTGACGGCAAAGCACCTGGGAAACGTGAGGGGTGTCAGCATCCACGGGACGCTGGTTAAGCCCCCACAAGTCATGCGAGCCCAGCAGTACTTCACCACAGATGGCTGGCTGGGCACAGTTCTGGGCCATCCCTGTAGGCCCACCACATAGGCCTTGTAATTTGCATGTAGTATTTGGTCAGCACATGTTGGCTGTGTGGATGAATCATTTGGAAGTCCCCCAATACTGACTTCCAGGAAGCTTTCTCCTTTAGTGCGGCCATGTTTCCTGCTGACCTTCACTATCACTCTATTGCTCAGGACAGGTAAGTCCAGGCTTCAAAAGGCCCAGAGTGTGCAAATACTAGCAAGATAATACCACGAAGGACAACAATGGCTGCTTCTGTTAACCGAGAGAGTGCCTGTTAGGGCCCCGGCCTTTGCATGTCTTTCTCACTTAATACAGCGCTGAGACGCAGGGATTGCTTAAGTCAACAAACCTGAGCTGCAATTGATTTAAGATGATCCCAATGTCAGAGCTGTCAAAATGTGACAAAAAATAATTACAACTTAGAATTCTGCAGATGAGGCACTCACGGAGGCGAGAGCACTTGGCCAAAGATCTTGGATGGCAAACAACACAGCTAGCGTGAGAACCTTGGTTTTCTCAAGGGCGTTCTGACTCCAGAGCCCACCTCTTAACTTCGAAGGTAATTGACTTCCCTGTGCAGAAAAGGGGAAAAAAAAACCACCTTTGACCCTCCCTCACAGCCTCTGCTGTGGGACAGAGGGACTGCTAGAAGCTGGGTTTCAATTAGAAATTGGAAAAATGTCTCCAGCTGAGATGGTTGGAAAATGCTGGACGAAACCCTGTCTTCTTACAAAATAAACAAATATTAAAAAAAAAAAAAACCCAAAGAAAAAACCTAAAACAAACAAACAAAAACCTATCGTCTTCTCTGACAGCTCGTACCAGAAAATAAGCCCTGAGCCCCTGCCTTCAAGCACCATGGCTACAGAGCAGGTCTGCCCAGGACGGAAGCTGAGCCTGAGCTGCTCAAGTTTAATTAACACTGACCCCGCGGGCCAAGGTCAGCCAACGGCGGAAGACAGGTTCTTGGGGCTGATTCTTACAAGTGACTGTCGCCCAGTTGTGCCCTACTAGAGGTGTCTGCTGTGGCTGGCATGGAGAGCCAGGGGCCCAGGGGCCGGGGAAGACACGCGGCCTGCCTTCTCCACCCTCAGGCTGGGTTAGCACTCAAAACCTGATCTGGGAACTCCTGAAATTTTGAAAGAGCGAGCCTTGGATATGAAGCACCACAATCTTGGTTTCACATGAATTATTATTTGCTTCTGCCAACAGCCTTGAGCAGTGGGTGTCATCATCCAAGCTTACACTGCGCCTTGGAAAGGTGAAGGGACTTGCTCAACATCTGCCAGGGTTAAAAGGCGGGGTCAGCTCGCCTGCCTGACACCAAGGCCCCGGTAACTGCTGTCACCAGGACAGGCGGCTGCCCTGCAGAGGGCAGAGGCTGTGCACGGCACAGGACAGCTCAGGTAAGGATGCACCACGGCAAAAGCTGGAGGCCTGCTGTATGTTTATCAAGACAGCCACCAACAGGTGAAAAGAAAGGGTCTGGAGAACACGGTGCCTTTTAGGAATTCCCACCAAAGTGCTCTGTGGGCTGGGTATGGACACTGACATGGCCTTGGCATGTCGGGGACGACCAGACGCATCCAGCACACGGGATGGAAACAGGCAACTGAACAAACACTAATCCTGTCCTCCTCCTCCTGGAACGGGGCCCTACAGGGCCTGTCTTCCTCTCTTCCTCCCAGTGAGGACCTCTGGGTCCCAGTCATGCCGGAGAACCAGGGACTGAAACACAGACAAGACTGCCTACGCTGTGGAGAAACTCTCAAGGCCAGTGGCAAATGCAGATTTGCAGGGATTGTCATCTTACTTTCCCTGTGTATGCGTGTGTGTAGGTTGTTGTTTTTAAGCATCGACATTTTAGCCGTGTGTGTGTGTGTGTGTGTGTGTGTGTGTGTGTGTGTAGATTGTTTTTAAGCATCGATATTTTTAGCCGGAAGCACACTGGTATGATTAAGAGCACAAAGTCTGCCACCCTGTGTGTGCACACCCAGGCCCTGCCCGACTGGATGTATGACCTTAGGCAAGTCACTCAACCTCTCTGTGCCTGTTTCCACATCTGCAAAATGGGAATAATGATGGCTCGAACCTCACAGAATGAAACATGAGGGCTCAGTGAGTTATTATCTCTAAGATGCATGTGAAATGCCATGTGATGATTAGCTAGTAGAGGCCCAAAGTGCTACATAAATAGGAGATAAGCCTGAGAAAGTGACCTTTTTTATCTCATCGACTGTGACCTTCAGAATGAGGACTGTACTGTGGCCACCACTAGCCCGAAGCCCTGGGTAGGAGAGGCTGCAGTTGGTCATCCCTGTGTCTGAGCAGATAGGACCCTGGGCCTTCCGTCTGTCAGAAGGCTGTCACCGCGGTGTCTGCGACAAGGAGGAAGTGGTTAGCTTCAGATTACGTTGTGGCAAGTGCAGGAGCTCCAAGGAGCCTTACAGAACCAGCCCTGGGGTCTGAAGCGTCTGGAAAACTTGCCAAAATCCTGACCTTTGGGCCTCCATCTGAGAGGGGGATTCAGGTCCTAGACACTGCAGCCAGCAGAGAAAGCGGCCTCCCCTCCCGACTCTGCCCCTCTTTACACGCCCCTCCCCACCTGGCCCCTCTCCAGCGAGAGGCCTACAGGCGGTGTCTCTCCCTGGGCCAGGCCACGCTCGGGGAGGTCTGCGAGGCAGCAGGCCCAGAGCTGGAGTGCAGCCCAGGCCACGGGCTGTCCGCCCACCATGACCAGGTGAGACAGCAAAACAAGAAAAACGGGTGTCTGGTCTTCCTGCTCAGAGGGAAGGAGCACACTGTTCCCCAACTGAGCCACCTCCATCAGAGCCCAGAGGATCGTGATTAAGCCAAGAAAAAAAACACACAGATGCGACAAAGCCAAGAACGAACGCGCGCGCGTGCGCGCGCACACACACACACACACACACACACACACACACACACACACCCTCGCCGCAGAAACGAGTACTTGATTTTGTTTACAAAGTGGCTTTACAGTGCCCTGGGACGAGGGCCAGGCAAGCGCTCCCAGCCTGACACAGGATGGACATCTGAGCCCCAAATATTTCAATATGACGTGTCTGGAGGGCTCCAATTACTCTCGTGTGAACACAGATGACAGGGCTCAATTTCAACTGGCAACCGCGAAAGCACAGTCACAGCTCCCTCGAAGCCCAGCCCACATGCCGTGCGGCCTAACCGTACCTTGTAAATCGCGGATGATCCTCTGGAGCTGGCCTTCCGCCCCGGTGGAAGCCATGGCGGCTGGCTGCAGGCAGCCTGTCCTGGTTGAGCACCTCCGGCCTGGGGCCTGGGGCCTGGGCCCGGTCAGCAGAAGTCAGGCTCCATGGTGGCACCTGCAGGGTAAGGAGGAGGCTGTGGAGGCAGCAGTCACAGACATAATGTAAAGACAGTAGAGGGACGCTGCCCTGGGCACCAAGTCGCCCGTCTGGGCGTCTTCTCATAATGGGAAGGGCTTGACCTTTCTGTGTGGGCCTTGCTCTGTGGGCATTCCCTGGTTGGCTTCTGACACACTTATATTCAGACACAATGACCTGGTTTGAGCCTTAAAACGAAACAAGATCAACCAAACAGAGCGGCCTAGTCTGTGTGAGTTCCCCTCCGATTCCGCCCTGACACAGCACTGCCTGACTTTCCACCTTTAAAGATGCCACCCAGTGGCTTCCCGCAGCCCTGGTACCAAGGCCAAAACTAGTGCAACCCCAGTTCCCTGGCCTGCTAAGCTTTAGGTGCTGGCTACCAGCGGACCCGTCTCTCCCACGCCCGGCCCGCATTCTCCCCACGCCTGCCTTCCCTGAGGGCTGGCCAGGAGCGCGGGCTGAGGACACATACCCTCAGGGATTCTGCACCAAGGAAAGGCCGTTTGCCTCGCGGGGGAAGGGCTGTGGCGCCCGCTGCCCAGAGTCCGGCTCTGCCTGGGTGGGCACGCTGGGTGTGCCATCAGGGGCCTGCGCAGCCCTCGGAACCAGTAAAGGGACACTTCTATTTTAAGCTCAGTTACTGTCCTCTCGTGGCTGGTGAGTCCTGAGTTACCAGCCCTACTTGGGCAGCTGCTGAAGTGATTTGAGGACACAGTAGAGGCTGCAGTCCAACAAAGATGAGGAGATACGAGCGGCATGGGAAAGAGGCTTGGACGTGCACTTGGACCCTGCTGGGTCCTGTCAGAACCTCTAACTCCTTCCTCAGACGCTCACTGCAGAATCATAGTGTTTGCTGGCAAAGCAGCTGGCAAGGCTGGAGGCAGCCGTAGCAGCAGCCACCACTAAATGAGGGCCTACTGTGGGCTGGGCCCGGTTAGGTGCTTTACACACGTGATCTTTTTAATTCTGACAATCGCCCTAGTGGAGTAAGTAATGTACAGAGGAGGAGCTGGCATTCAGAGAAGACGTGTAACTAGTCTAAGGCCTCAGGCCAGCAAAGAGTGAAATCGTGGTGTGAACCCCGGCCAGTGTGGCTTCAAATCCTGCGGATTTACAACTGAGCCACTGTCACTATAGCAAATGACCAACCACTTCCACTGGCTTCTAGGAAGCACCCTGAACGCCAGCGTCTCCCAAATAACGTGCCACCACCTGAGGGTTTCTACCACATGCTGGCCCTCACCCTCCCACCGCCATCTTCCCCTTACTGCTCCAGGGGCGAGGCAAGCAAATCCTGGAATAGAAATGATCCCCACCTCAAGCTCCTCCAAATATTTACATAAGCATTCCAGCATCAGCCTGCAGGGAGGAGGGCCTGTCACAGGGCAGATATGCCCGGGCCTATTTTTAGCAAACAAGCCAGGCTGCGGTGACTCAGTGAAAACAAGGCCTAAAGAGGGCTTCTCCGGCCCGGGAGGAATGAGACAGACACAAACCTGTACCATACTCCCAGTAATTCAAGACACAGAGCCCCAGAGAACCCTCCAACCCCCCCCACCCCCAGCAAGTGCTGGCACCCTGCCCCTCACAGACACCAAACTCAGGGTGGGAGTGGTTTACCAGAAGCCAGCCTGCTTTGTCCTGGGCGTCTCTCCAGGTCGCCTGCTGAACACAGAGCCTGAGCAGGGACCGGCCAGGGCCCTAGAGACGGGGAGCCTGGGCTCAGCCAGACTTCTGCAGGGGCTCTGCTGCCCAGACACACACTTCGCCCCTCCTGGCTCACGATGGTCAGTGCACTGCTGCCTTGTCACCACACTCTGCCAAGTACCTACATTGTGTGGGCTTGGCACACGGAGGCATGCAAGGCACAGGCCAGCCCTGGAGGAGCTTGGCTGTGCACCAAGGAGGGAGAGAGAAAAACAGCCAGATATCAGGACCCGGCAGAAGAGGTCTATGCAGAGATATGGATAAAAAGTTACAGGCACTCGGCAATGAAGAGGCACGAACCACAGATACACACAACAAATGCTTTGTGCTGAGTCAAAGAAGCCAGACTGAAAAGGTTACACACTTCACTACCCCATTTGCATGATATTCTTGCAAAGGCAAAGCATTAGGAAGAAATCAAATCAGTTGTTGCCAGGGGCTGGGGGTGAAGGGAGGACTGCAAAGGAGTATGCAGAAATTGTGGGGGGCAATTCTGTTCTTTCTTGATTGCGGTGGTGGTTACATGACTATATATATCTGACAAACATATATTTATCAAAACTCACATCTTGTAAAATATATCTCAATAAAAATAGTGGCACTGTGATGAATTTAGAAAGATGCAGTTAGACCTGAGGAAAGGAAAACGAATTCTGCTTGGGGAAGGGAGAGGGTGGTAGGCACTCCGTGACGGCAACTGAGTCAGGCCAGACCTGAAAAATGAACAGGTCTTCAGAGAGACCCAAGGAGAAAGCATGCTGGGGTGGAGGGTTGGTATAAAGCCTGTTTCTCTACCTGTGCTCCTTTTGTGAATGTTATCAGCACAGAGAAAGCCTTGTAGCTTCTGGGAGAACTAATCTTGGAGGAAGATGACTAATTCCCCAGGAGCCCTCTCACAAGCCTGCTGGGTCTGTGTGTTTACTTCAACTGGAGGCAAGACTTGCACAGGAGGGAGAGGGCGGAGCTTGAAAGGAAGGGATAACAACAGATTCTGAGTTAATTTATCCAGGCTCTGGCCAGGACAATGCATGAACCAGACAAGCTGCATTTTCTAGAAACCAGCCCTCTTTGGATTCTGGCATGAGGGAGGGAACAACAACACTTGCAAACCAAGCGGGCACCCTGGCACGACGAGCCTGGACAGACACATGCTGGTTCGGGACTTCCTGGCACTTCGGCAAAGCTGCCCTCAGGTAGGCCTGAGCCCGGGAGGCCTTCTCTGCCTGACCCTAGGAGTTCGCCCAGCTGATGCCAAGTTCCCAGATCACCGGGTGAGCTGTGCCAGTGGCTGACTATACAAGCTGCTTTTCCAAAGGGCCTGCGTCACCACCAAGGTAATGAGCCCTAAGAAGCTGGCTAGTGGGCCTGGAGGTCACAATGGGCTTCCCACCACGCCTATGGGCCACCACCTCACAGGGTTTCCTGAAGTAAATCCGAGTCACCACAGGGATGCTGTTTCCATGGACTTGGAAAGGACAACTCCTGGCACTTTGTCCTCCCTCTTCCTTGGTCTGAGGTCATTACTAACCATCGAAGACAAAGATGGGACATTGTCTCTCTCACCACACCAGGGTTAACTTCCTGGTGTCTCTAGAGTAACCACACACGTAACCACCTGGATGTCCCACAATTCAGTACAAGTCTGACACTAACCACCGAGAGTTGGGGACGACCCCCGCTGGGTTTAGGGCTCAGTCCACAAGGCGACCTGGCTCCAGGAAGGGTGGCCAGTCCCAGGTTGCTACCTGTATTTCTGACCAACCGATGATAACCCGGGGATCCCATGATCCCCTCCTCAGGTTCAATAATTTGCTAGAACGCCTCAAAAAACTTGGGAAACACTGTTATTACGGGTTTATTTTATTTGATAGTTTTATTACTATTTATTTTAAAGGATACATTTCGGGAACAGCCAAACGGAAGAGATGCACAACAGAGGTAGAAGGTGGAGGGAGACAAATGGGTCTCCCATGCCCTGGGGCTCCCCACCCCCCTTACGGAGGCATGATTGATTAAACCACTGGCCACTGTGATTAACTCCGCCTTCAGTCCCTCTCCCCCTCCCCAGAGGCCTGGGGGAGGGGCTGATGAAAGTTCAGACCCTTTAATCTCCAGGTTGGTTCCTCTGGCAACCAGCTCCTACCCTGAAGCTATGTGGGGACCTCCGCCAAGAGCCACCCATTAGCATAAACTCAGGTACGGTAGAAAGGGGCTTGTTATGAATAACAAAAGACGCTCCAACCAGGAAATTCCAAGGGTTTCAGCTCTGTGCCAGGAACCAGGGACAAAGACCAGAAGTGTCTTTTATTGTCTCACAGACTTCTAGCACGAACCAGCCCAAAGCTGACCTCTACAACCCATTAGCAAACTGCTCCCCTAACTCAGGAGGCACTCAAAGAGCTTCTGTCCACATCGCCATGGCTGCTTCAGAGCTGGGGGAAGGACTCCAGGACCCCCCACCTTGCAAGGCCCCCAAAGTACAAGTTACCTCAATTAACCCAGGGTCCTTGTTGTATGACAAGTAAAAACCACTATCACTGTCTCTGGCAAGCTCTTTCAAATTACAGAGAAATATATTTTATAAAATGGGGTGTGGGGGGGAACATTGGGTTCTCTTGCCAAAAATTCAAAATTATGTTTAAACTTATCCAGAATGTCTGAAAACATCCAATCATCTGAAAGGGCAAAGGACTAAATGCATTTTTTTAAATTCTTGTTTATCCCCTGGGACTATTGCCTGAATCATGGCCCAGGTATTATTTTAGAGGATCATCCCCAACCTCCACATTCCTCCTATACCTGCCCAGAAGCCCTAAATGCCTTAAACAATAGACACGGCAGTTTAGTCCCAAATTAAGACTCAAAGACTGACTCTTGTAAACTGATTTACATTATAGCGCCAATGACTAATATTCATCATGTTGCCCAGAAACTGGCTGCGGCAGGAACAACACGGCGTCCAAGTAGCTGCCTAAGGAAGGAAGGAGCAGAAGGGGAGGAGGAGGTTTGGGCATGAAGACAAGCTGGCCCGGCCTTCAACAAAATCTGTCATACTCGCTCCCAACACTACAGCTAAGAACCAGAGAGGGTACTTACAGTTGGGCTCCTCCCACTCAAACAGGGTGAAGCCGACCAGTTGTAAATTCCACCAGACCAAGAGAGAGGAAGTTAACAGGACAGCTCAGATCAGTCCAAACAGAAAGGCTTCCTGGAAGAGTTCACTGCCTTGGCCTGGTTCAGCACACCACACAGCATCTATCCAGTTACCACCTATGGAAAGGCGGGTACTAGGCTGGTACCTGCAGCTCTGAAGGCCTGAGGTCCCACTGGCTCAGCTCTGAACAGGTTGCTGGGCAGACAGGCTGCCCTCACCAGCGCTTCAAGAAGGTGCCTAGAAGAGTGCTGAGGAGTTGGTCAGAGGTCAGCTCTGAGGCAGACATTTCAGCCCATGTGAGCAAAAGCTCGTCAGGCAACCCAGCCCCTTGACCTCTAATTAAAGTGATGACCAACTGCATGCCTGGGTCATCTTTCCAAACAATCCTCCTTGCTTGCGATCCTCTCATTCTTGAAGAGAATAAGGAACCTGAGACTTTGCCATCACTTCATGAAACTTCTCTGGGCTCCCCCTTTTCCCACCAAAATGTCAGGCTTCTTGGTCACTCGCTCTGAAACACACACGAAACTGGCCCCAATTCCAGCCCACTAACCCAGGAGAGCAGAGTCAAGAGGGACCTGCGGGTGTGAAGTGTTGCTTCTGGGTCTGGGGAGAGCAGACTGTCTTTTTTTTTTTTTTTTTGGAAGATGGGCAGTTGCTCCTGGGAGGGGCTACACATCTGTATTTGGGACAGCCGTGCCATTGGTAAGCCCAGAGAAAACAGGGTAGATCCTGGATCGGCTGCACAAATGAGTGAGGCCTCAACTGGTGCATCTACTCCTGGCCCCCAAACAGCAAAACCCCACACCGCTGGGGACAACTGCAGCACTCCCAAATCGTAAGCTCCAGAGCGACAGGGGGTGAGTCCAGCTAATGATGAATAAGAACTGGCAGCATGTGCCATCTCCATCTCTGACAGAATGTGCTGCACCACTGCACACGGCCTTGAGGAAGACAACAGGTAACCCGTACGTGCTAACAAACCGCCAGCCGGCCACGAGGTGCTGCTGGGCACCACTATGAAGAGGCAGGCCGGACCCAGACGCTCGCTACAGCTGTGGACAAGGCCTTCAGGGGGCTCCCGCTCCAGCGGGGAGAGGCAGACAGAATACACCCCCGGGGGGTTATAGGCAAATAAGAGCGGTCACCTGAGGCCTGGGAGAAGCACGCTGATGAGGACAGAGGCACACAAGGCCCTGTGCTCACCATTCGAAGCCCCCACTGCAGGCGGCTCTTCCCCTTTTGTGGCCATCTACCCACACAGTCATTTCTTGTTCAGTCTGTCTTTCCCACTTGTCTGTAAGGTCCGCTGCTATCCATTACTTATTCATTATTTCCCCAGCACCTAGCACAGATCTGACCCATGGAGGGCCCTCCATGAATTACTTGTTCAATGAATGAATAAATTAGACAAAACCAAACACATTGACTCTTACTCCGCAAACCAAAGGAAACTTGAGGCAGAGAAATGTACTAGAAATGTACCAACATGTAATTAGTGAAAATTATCCTTCAATGGTGGGAACCATGGGTAAATTTTCAAAAAATTCTATTTCTCTGATTTTCCAATTTTCCTTTACTGAGCACTAATTAGTTGTATGTTGACTAAAATAATGCATTTAAAAAATCAAGTTGTAATTGCAGACATTATATCATCATTATTGTGGAAATATTAGTTATTATTCTGAGAATGAATGAAATAATTTAGGGATTGGGGGGATTAAGTGTGTCTACCGGAGAGCGTGCACCCCAGCGGTGACCCCGAAGTCATTTTTCCCAGAAGCCTCCTTTACCCCATCCAGGACAAGGACAACCACAGCCATTACCACCACCTCCCAGACTCACCCGGCCCTCCTCGGGGCCCTTTCCTTCCTCCATTCCTAGACGTTTGGATCTGGAACCATCCAATAGGAACACTGCAAGGGTTGGGGAAGTTTTGATGGATCTGATTTCTGCTGTGCTCCTTGGGTGACAAGAGCGACAACCTGGGTATGGACCGGGGCGGGAGGGGGGGAAGGGCGCTCTGCTGGCATTTAGGAGGGACAAGCAAGACCCAGGATGGCTCTGAAGCATTTGTGGCAATGGGCGAGAAAATGATCTTCTCTTTTATCCATTGTTGCTGAGTCTTGCCAATTTGGACCCTATTCAGATTTGGAGTCAGACTAGTCATGTGAAATTTATATTACCGGTAAGATCATGCCATGACTGGGTGAGGCCCATAAGTTTAGCGCACCAAACTATTTTCAGACAATTTCAGTAAATTCATCTGTCCTGGGGAAGTTATCTCACCTCTTTCTACCTTGTGTGGTGTTTGGGGTTGTTTTTTGTTTTTGTTTTCATGCAGTGTGGGGAGGCTACCCTTTATCTTCCTGCATGGAGGAGGTGGACCAAGAGAAGAACAGACATGTTCAGTGGCTGACTTTGGCTGAGGCTCCTAAGTGCCCCCTCCCTGCTCCTGACCAAGGCTGCAGATGCCCTGGAAAAAGCACCTGGGGCCACAGGTTCGGCTTGCGGAGATCCCTCCTAGCTCCATGTTAAACGGCCACCCCTGGTCCAGTCGTCCAGCCTATCCTGGACCTCTCCCGGGGATGCTCTTGGCCTAGCCCTCTGTATGCTAATGGCCTGCTTGAAATACCTTTTCCGCTTCAGGTTGTTCTTCTAAATGACAAGGGTTTCTCTAACACTTTTCTGCCCCAGGTTGAGGTGCAGTACCCGAGCCTCCCGAGGCGGTCGGTCAGACCTGCCCTTGGGCCCTGAACCGGCCACAGGGCCACAGTACCATAACCAGACCACAGATCTCCTTAAGTCTGTCCTCAGAACCACACTGATGTACATATCCTCATCCCTGAAAACAGGATCTTTCAAATGCCACAGTCCTGAAAGAACAGGAAGGACCAGTGGCAGTCATTAAAAGCACTAGGCTGACTGGCTGCGATGTGAGGAAGAGGGGAAAAACACCTGCACACCTGCATACCTGAGCACAGCTCTACCGTCCTCCTCTTCTAAAAGCCGTGGCGCCCACGTGCTCTGAAGCTGAAGCTCTTATTATGAGGACATACAGTGACACATCTAAATATAGCAAGATAAACACAGACCCATGGAAACATTTCAACACCCACACTACTGGTTTATTTAGTTGTTCGGAGGTTTTCTCCCAATCAAGAGCTTAAAAACAACAAAAACTAAACAACACTGGCACTGAGAGTACAAACAGAAAATACTGTTTATCTTTTGAGCAAGTCAATGACACCTGGCCGCTAGGTTGCTGACAAGGCCCAACTCCACTCGTCTCTGACCACCGGCACTTCCGGCTTGTTAGAAGACACCAGTTAAAGAGCCTTACCTGCTCGGCTGCCTGAGGCTGCTCCAGCCGACTGCTCCAAATTCTGAGTTCCTATCAGTGATTTTCACAGCTAGTCAACACGCTTCCTCTGCCTCAAGTTTAAAGGCATTCCAGTCTCGAGTCACCCAAGTTGTTCCTGGAATCAGCAGAAAACAGAGTGTGCCCATCAGCCAACCCTCTCCCCTCCGGGGAAGAGGAGGGCTGCCATTTAAGTGCTGACTGTTCTGGAAGACGCAGCCCACGGCCTCAGGGACCAACATGGTCAAAGTCACCCATTGTTCTGGTCTTGCTCTTGAAGGGGAGCAGTCTGCCACTCCAAAATATGCCTCTTTGGGATACTGGTTCCTTTAGTTAAGTTAATTTTAAGAAAAAGCAGACCTGCAAGAAGCTCTGAAAACCTAGAAGTTACAGTCTGGTAAAGGACATTTACATTTGTATGGGAAACAGCAGTCCGTAAGGGTGTTTCTCCATCACTGGACCAGGCTTGCCTTTACATGCAATGGAGAAGGCAGGGACTTAAATCTGTATAACAACCTGACCCTTGTTTACTGGTCACCTCGCATTATTGACCCTCCACCCCCAATATCTTCTTTAGTCTTTAGCTGAAGGTGGTATTTAAGGTGATGGCTTCCACCATTTTGGTGAGTTACTCAGTGTTCCTGGGTTTCTCTCTTGTATACAGGAAGTATACATATTATTAAACTTTAATTTGTTTTTCTCCTGCTAATCTGTCTCGTTGTAATTTGATTATTAGTCCAGCCAGAAGAACCTTGAAGAGTAGAGGATAATCCTTCCTCCCCAACATCTGTTTTACGTGGTTCCTCTCATCACAGACATCTGTGGGAGCCATCGCTGTCCCCAAAGGACCAGGCTAAATGCGTAGCTCCTGAACCCATGCTGGTGCCCCCAAACCAGACACAAGGGGCAAAGACCACCCAAGGAGCAACTAGAAGATCGAGTCCTAAAGCTACAAAAATCATCGAAGTAAAATGTTAATTGTAAATCTAACAAGTAGCACAAATCTCTTAGTGATGCTGTATGTTTAACCACCTTCCTGATAAAATATTGAAAACAATTTAAAACCTAAATGAAGTAGAAAACCTGTTTCCTAAAGATAAGAGTCTTTTCAGATCCTTTTAATCAAAATCACTGTGACAATTCACTCCGCTTTCCAGAGTGATAATAACAGCGGTCCACAACTGGTAGAGGGCATTCATAATTTGTGAACAGTGCTTGTCATGGAAGTCGGGGGGTCAAGTGCAGCCCACTCAACATGGGCCCACTTCAGAAGGTGGAAGCCACTGAAAGCAGAAAATCTCAGCGTGACAACGCCTCGCCAGCTGCAACACCCAGAAGCCACATCAGGCAGACGGCAGGCAAGTGAAGCTCGCTGGAGACCACAAGGCTCGCAGTGGCAGGAGGGCAAGGAGCAGATTAGGGCCTGATCCTCTGCCCTCAGAGCCCCTGACCCATTTCTCCGTAGGGAAAGAAAACTGCTGTGGTAAGACAAACAGAGGGGCAGAGAGGCTGTGGCCAACACAGGCAGCTTCACTAAGGGCTCGGTTTTTTCCAGAGACGGCAGCCAATGACAACTGCGAAGAGTGACGAGGGGTGTCAGAGGACGGTGTGTACTAATGGGCAGCCACGTGGTTAGTGTGTCAACCACACATGCCTTTCTTGTAACAAGAATAAAATCCAGCCCTCCCTCTCCATCTCCCAGCCTAGATTCTGAAGAGCATCGGCTCCAGCCCAAGTGGGCGCAGCCACATCACAGACAATCCACAAACCCACAGGTGTTTCAGGAAAGTTCAGCTGAGGGCGATCTCCAGACCCTGTACCTGCAAGGCCAATGAGTAAAGAGAATGGGCCGTGACCCGAGGAAGTCCCGGGATGAACAAACCGTCTTCTTAAGGGAGGAAGGGAGAAACCAGGGTATCAGTGGAAGTCTAGCAAAGCGAGGGTCAGGGCTGCCCCGGCCCAGCTAAGCCAGGAACTACGCTTCTTTGGTCAGCGGCCTCTTGGACAATGCAAGCAGAAACTTGAGGGCCTGTATTCTTGTGCCTAAAACATCCCAGGGCTTGTTCTGAAACCCCCACGTGGTGGGTTCCTTTGCGGCTCTTGGGCCGTCGGGGGTCTTGGAACTGGTGTTCGGAGGTCTTTCTAACTGATCACCTGAGGCGGGCTGGGTTCCAGGGTCGGTTTCGCCGACCCGAGGTGGTTCCCAGGCCCACTGGACAAGGGTAAGGACTCAGGCGAAGTCTGTGGGTCACCCGGGATGCGCGCGGACGTAAAGGGCAACAGGTGACGAGTCGCTCCCGGAGGGAAGTGCTCCGCTCCGGGGCCAAGAGTAGCCTGGGCGCCCCCAAGAGTCTGGCAGGTCCCCCGGTGGCACTTACGCGCTCGTGTGTCCACCGCTGGGCAGAACCGAAACTTTCTGGGGCCAAGCGGAAGACCGCGGGAGCGCGGCGTGATCCGCCATAATACGCAGACCGCAACCCAGGCGGGTGCGGACTACAACTCCCGGCATGCTCCACAGGGCCAAGGCCTACAACATCCATCGGACGCCACGGGCAGACGAACGCGGACTACAACTCCCGGCATGCTCCGCAGAGCAGAGGTTTACACCTCCTACTGGTCCTCCCTGGCAGCCGGCCATGGGTTAACCCTTGCAATCCCAGCGGGCATGTGTGTCCACAAACCATGGGTCTGGGATCTTGAAAGCAGCACTGTCCACGTTTAACTTGAAAACTTGAAATGCGCCTAGCTTGAGTTGAACTGTGCGTGTGTTGTAAGTGCAAAATACACCTGAATTCCAACGACTCAGTCCGAAAAAAGAATGTAAAATAGCTTAATATTTTTATATTAATTACATGTTGAAATGATAATGTTTTTTATATGTTGGGCTAAATAAAAAACATTACATATTGCTGGGCCTAAGGGCCCATCTTTTGATCTCCTTCACTTAATACAGTGATCTACTTAAAAATGAGTGCACAAAAACTATGTGTTAATGAACTTTCACCCCTAACTTCTGCCCCACGCTACTCAATTTCTATTTATTAGTTTTATTTTCTAGTTATAAGCTGCAAAGTACTCTGAGAGTGGACCTGATAGAACAAAATGCATTCGTTAATAATATCTATATGCAATAATATCTACTACTACAGTGTGTATGTGGGAGGTAATGACAAAATAGTCATTTTATTTTCTTGTTGATTCAAAGACGCTTGAGTCCCTGGGGACCCTGCAGATCACAGTATGGCATACTTGGGTGTGGTTAGCTGGATGGTCTTTGCCATCAGGTAGGCTGAGTGGGGGGTTCCAACTTGGCGGCCTCCCAGCAGTGTAATCCTGGCCAGGTCACTTTTCCTCTCTGTGTCTGCTTCCTCATCAGGAAATGAGGAAGAGTGTTCTGAGGACTGAACGAGAAAATGTGTATGAGGTGCTTTCCGAATTCCTGGCACACAGTATGCACTTAATAACAACAAGAACAGTCAGGGGAGCACTGGGGGTCTCTAAGATGGAGATAGGACAGCAGCATTTCCCCAGCTGATTTACTCTGGGGACCACTGGTCATGAGGCATGCTAAGGCATTAGTGTTCCAGGAAATGCACTCTGGCATGGGCAGATGGAAAACCAGAGGAGATGGTAGGAGCCTCAGAGGGTATGTTGGTTCACTGGTTCTCACCTGGGGGATGGGAATCACCTGGGAAAGTACTTATAAGTACAGAGGCCTGGGCCCCATCCAGACCTGCTGAGTCAGTACCCCTGATAAGGGTGAGGATCTGGCGTGTATATTTGAAAGTACCTTCCCAGGGATTCTGTCAGGCATTCCTAGTTAAAATCCTCTGACCTAATTCATTGCATTACAGATGAAGAAACTAAGGCCTAGAAATGCTAATAGGCTTGTAGAAGGAGGCCCAATGTGTGGCCCAAAGGCTTAGGTTTGAATCCTCACTATGTGACTTCTTGTAATTTGCTTAACTCCTTCATGCTTCACTTTCTTCGTGTATAAAGGGGGGCATACAGCAATTTCAAATGACATTTGTGACTATTCAACGAGCTAAGACAAGACAAACACTCTAGCATGGTGCCTGATACAAAGTTAGTGCTGAATAATTTCTGGCTACTTTGTCATCATTACCATCACCGTCATCACTATTGCCATCATCGCCATTATCGCCATTGCCATGATCATCACCACCATCGTCACTATTTCCTCTACCACCACCATCATCATCATCATCACCATCACTATCATCACTACTGCCATCATCACCACCAGCACCACCACTATCATCACCATCGCCATCATCACTATGTGCAGAACCATACCCAACCAGCCAGCCGCAAAGCTGGGGCTAAGGTCCCAGCCTTCAGACTCCTAATTCAGTGCCGTTTCCACTACTTAAGCTTCCAACTTCTCAAAGCGAACCTACGGAGGCTCTAAGTATTCCGTTGCCCAAGATTGTGCAACAAAATCTTTTTTCTGATTTGAAAAATAAAATTCCCTTTTTCCCAAACTGGCTCTTGACACTCAGAATAAAGGAAGTCAACTACACCTGAGATGTGAGAAGACACTAAAAAGGGCTCCCTTGAAAAAGTCTTATCTTTGCTACCAAGAGATAACCTTTAAGTAAATGGCTGGCAGGAAGGAAATTTTCAATAATGCTATTATAAAATAATTGAGCTTGTCATTTTCTAGGAGTGTCACTTCCTCGCTGAGTAGCTCTGGTGGCCTGAGCAGGGGGCAGTACTACTGAAAGGAGCGGTTTGGGATGGGGTCTGATGGTGCTGCTTGTCAGAGTCCTCTTCCTAAGATATTTTCGGGTGGGCAAGTGATGCCACATCTCTGGTGTCCCCTATTGTTGACTCAGACTGCAACGAGGCTGGGCAGTAGTGAAACCGCTGTACAAGTAGTGAAACTTGTCCCCACAAGTGGTGGCTATTTGTGGATTTGGTGGCTGGATTCCTTTCCTAGTTGTGAGGATTCCCCATCACATGAGCCTTTACGGGAGATAGAGCCCACTTCTACAGGAAGCCCAAGCGTGCGATTGCAGCTCCCATGGGGCCAGAGTGTTGGCGGATAGCCCTGGCTTGGTCCATGCACTGCATGTACCTGCCATGTGCAGGGCGGTGGCAGTTCTTTCCGGAGCTGCTGCAACCTCTGGCTTCTGGCGTGGTTCTGCCAGAGATAGTTTCCCTTTGTCTCCTCTGTTTCTTCTGCCTTCCCATCAGTTTTGGGAGCTGTGCAGCATCTTTTTCTCTGAGTATAAACTCTTTCGTGTTTTACTTCCCTCCGTTTTATGTATAATTACACACGTTTCTTTTTCTGTTTTGCTGAATCTTTTGTGATGTAGTTGCAGGTATCATGACATATCTCTGACACGATAACAATGCAATCTTGCCCAATGTTGTTTAATACATTTCTCTTCTGCCATGGCAACTAGAGGTGATTTCTGTTGATTATAGCTAAGAGTCCTGATGGACACATTCCTTGTTTGGGGAAGCAGAATGATGTGGTGGAAAGGTAGGTATTTGGGGACAAGACAGACCTGGGTTGAAAATCCCTGATCTGGATCCCATGAGCTCACACAAGTAAGTCATTTATCTCTTCACACCTCCCTTTTCTCATCTGGGTAAAAAAGACAATGCCTACCTTACAAAGTTGTGAAAATGTGGCACAATGTGTGCAAGGCCCATAGCACAGTGCCTGGCACAATAGTAGGTGTTCAATAAATATTTATTGTGTGACTGACCAAATGAATAAATACACTAGACCAGTGCTTCTCAAACTTGGCTCTACATTAGAACCACCTGGGGACCTTTTAAAAATCTTGGTGCCAGGTCGCACCTCAGACCAATTGCATCAGAATCTCTGGGGAGTAGGACCCAGGCATCAGTGTTTTTTGAAGCTCCCTATGTGATCTAGCATACTGCCCAGATTGAGGATCATGCCCTGGATGTTGGAGTATGACCTCTGTGAGCCCTGGTGTCCTCCTTGGTCTAAGTGGGGAAACAGAAGTCTTACAAGGTGGCTGTGAGATGTGGAAAGGTATGGACCCAGCACAGAGTAGGTCTCAGAAAAAGTCAGTTTCCCATCTCCTGTATGTGTCTTTAGTTAGGTGCAATGCTCTGTGTGGGCAAGGTGAACAATGAAACCTGATTGGGGCGGGAGGTGGGGGGCGCTCAGGGGTGGGTTCTGAGATGCACTGGAATTCCCACACACCCACTGAAATTTGTGCCCCGTGTTACTCTGCTCAGGCTTCCATAAAAAAATCCCACAGACGAGGTAGCTTGAACAACAGAAATTTATTCTCTCACAGTTCTGGAGGCCGCAAGTCTGAGATTAAGGTGTCTGTAGACACCTTGGTTCCCTCTGAGGCTGTGAGGGAGAATCTGTTTCATGCCACTCTCCCAGCTTCCAGTAGTTGCTGTCAGTCTTTGGTGTTCCTTGGCTTGTGGTAGTTGAACTCTAATCTTCACACAGCTTTCTCCCTTTGTCCATGTCTGTGTCCAAACTTTCCCTTTTTTTTGAGGACACCAGTCATATTGGGTTAGGGGCCTGCCCTAGCACAGCATGACCTCATCTCAACTAATTAATATGTCACTACCCTATTTCCAGATGAGGTCACATTCAGAGGTATGGGGGGGGTTAGGACCTGAACATAGGAATTTGGTGGGGGACACAATTCAACCCAGAACATGCCCCAAGCTATAGATTTGTGTCTCCTGAAGAATCTCATGGCAATGCAACCCGTGAAATTATAGGTCCGTAGACTTTATTTTGTAATCATGGGAAGGGATTTTAGAGATCAATGAGTTCAGACCTCTCCAGTTAAGTTGAAAAAATAAACCCCAGAGGAGGGGAAGTGGTTTGCTAAGGGCCCAGCCTGAAAAGTGAGTGTGACTTCCTAATGGGGCCAACATTTGTGGGTCCTCTAATTTTGAAATAAACAGAAGATACTTTGAAGAATTAACAATGTTCGGTGTTATTGTTTTTAAAAAAACGCATATTTCCTATACCATTCGACAAGATCAGAGGCAGAACTTTGAACCAATTGTAACCAAAGTGGGAGGAGCAGATACAAGTAGGTAACGTCCTTTTCCAAACTCCCATAATTCATGGCGAAGTGCCTTGGAATAGTTTCAATGACGTGTGTAAGGTGTGCATTCCCAGTTGTGTGGACAATCAAGTGAGGCCATTTTCTGTTGGTCCAGAGGGTTCATCCAGGTTATCTGGAAAAAGGGCCAGGAATTTCCTGGGACTGGAGTAATCCTATGGAAACCTTTCCCCAACTGTGAATGACTAGAGGCTGGCTAGCTTGAATATGGGCCTAATTCATCTTTGCTGTCTCACTTCCCCCTACACAGGCTTTGCACTGGCTTCACACTGACCTCACACAGGGCAGGCCCTCTATAAATGAGGCCATGGACCTCCTGGAGGTCCACACGTCCCCCTCTCACCTCTCTTTCCCTGCAACCATCCAATTTCCCATGCCCATCTGTTGCCCATTTCTTCTAACCATGAGTGATGCTCAAGGCTGATTTGCTGAAATAGTCAAGGAATTGGGCTGTCTTCATCCTCCTTTGGTCCCTCTATCACACTTCCTTTTGTGGAGGGGCAGGGGGGTATTGTGTGGGAGGGACTACAACAGCCTCACACCTAAAATCTGAACTGGTTTCACGGTGGAGAGGGGAGCGCTATACAGAACAATTTGATGAAGAGTTAGGATAACCCCACCTCCCCTTCCCAAACTCCCCCCCAAACCTGCAAAGTATCTCTCATCAAAATTTCAGGATGCCTGAAATTCCCAGCAGTAAGCAGTAGCATTCCTTCTGATTGGAGGGCTGATCTCTGGAAGGTTCTTGTTCAGACACAAATGGATCATGAGATAGAAAAAAACTTTGGACTTGGAGACAGAAGACTTGGGTACCAGGCCAGAGGTTAAATAGGGACAAAAAACTGAGCCACAGAGTACTCAAGACAGACTTGGCCTTGGACAATTTTGCCTACGGCCTAAATGGAGCCAATTTCCCATCCTCCTGACCCACACAGGGCTTGTTCCACATTTTATCTCTAATCCTACTTCCATATCCCTACCTTCACCCCAAACCCTAACCCAGTTCCCCCATAAGCAGAGAGCTTTTAGGACTCTTATGTAATGACCTTGGGTAGAAACAAGGGGGACATAACTAGCCAGAGGTAAGTCAATTCATGCTTATCTTTTATTTGTGCATATGATACAATGATGCTTTCTGTTTTTATGAGATGACAGCAATAGTAATTCAAATTAGTCGGGGCTGAATGATTTGCAAAGCAATACTTTTACAGACATGGCTTCATGGATACCTCCATCACGTGAGTAGAGTCTGTCTTTGTGTTGTCAACATTTCTACAGTTTTACAGATGAAGACACTGAGGCTCTGAGAGGCCCGAAGTCACAGTGGGTAAGTAAAAGAGCTTGGTATTGGGGTTTGGGGCCAGGGCTCAAATTCCAAGAGCTTTCTCAGCCAGTTTACTTTGAAAATCTGTCCTACTGGGCTTTCCATACTTGTGGGTCTCTTTGTCCTGTCACAGGCAGCTTTCACAAGTGAAAACCATTAGGAGTTCAACAAACCAGGTGATGCCTGGGCCGGTGGGCTCTGGAGAACAATTCATGGGAAGCCCATAGATGATACTTGGAGTTGACGAGAAGATATAATATAAGCAAGTGTCAGAAGAGGAAACAGAAGTAGAAAAAAGCCAAAACTATGGTCTCCTATCCACATAACCAACCACAAATATTACTAGGCACCAAGGAAAGTTCTAGACATGCAACACAGGTTGTGTCCCTGAGGAAGTGCCACTCTGGCTGAGGTCATCTGAGGTCTGGGGCTGCCCCGGGCTTGGAGGCCCATTCCTCTCAGGAATCAGCAAGGCTCCTCTCTTCTTGATTTTATTTGAGAGAGGATGGAGATGGAAACCCTGGGAAGAGGATCTTCCCCAGGACCCGCTGTAGATTTTTTATGTTCCGGGAGTGGCAGGTCTGCAGCCTTGTGTCCAGGGCACCATTTTTCAACTGGAGAGGGAGGGATAGGTCTACAAGAGCCCACCTGAGGTCTAACAGTGGTTTCAGTGGATAGAGGGAAGGGAGAGCAGAAGGTTGTGGCCAATGAAGGGTGTGGTCAGAGAATGTAGAGTGCAGTCACGGGTCTCACCCAAAGTCCTTTCTGGTAGGATGCCCCTCTATCTTCCTGTTGATACCTTCCTGTCTCTGTGCCGCTTCCCTTGGATTTCCAAGAAGCTGGATTAGGAGAAGACCTTGCTTAAACACCACCCTGAGAGCTAGTCTATTGGGAGTGCCAAAACATCACTAGAGATGTAAAGAGAAGGGCATGATTGTATTTAATGAAGTGCCCCAAGGGATGTGGCTGTGTGTTGTTGAAAGGAATATTTGGATAAGCATCTTAGGATGTGAAGGAATGGGATAGGGTGTAGACAGTGAAGCAAGCTTCTCTAAGGACATGCTCTGTGGTGATACCCCAGAACCTGCCTTCTAAGAAGAGCGGGCTCAAAACCCATGGTGCTTTGGTTTGGCCAGGTGGGTGTGTGAGCTGGAATCCTTTGCCCTTCTGCTCCCTGGGCTGAGCCTGACATCTAAATAAAAGTTGAACAAAAGTTTAATACTATCTGTTTGAGGAGGTGCCGAATGATTAGCCTGACAGAAGCCCATAGGCTTATCTCTGACCTGTAACCATCTCATGGTCTCCTTTCTTTGCTATTTCTTCCATTGGCGGTGAGTAATGGCCCCATCTATTGGTTAGTTAGCCCCCTAGAGCTTTATCCCTTCACTGGTACCCCACCCAGTGGTCTTTTGTGGTTGGATCCCAAGCTCATTGGGGGTGGGAGCTTAGGGGGGAATAAGAATGGAAAAGTCAATTGGCACTAGATTGTAGGGGCTTTGAAAGCCACTAAGGGTTTTGAAGCACTCTGGGTTCAACGCAGAGGACACTTGGTGGGGAAAGAGATGAGCAGCAGGAAGATGCTAAGTAAGTGAGGCCATTTGGGAATAAATCCATGGGCATGTGATGGCAAGAACATCTCTGAGAGACACTGAGCAGGCAGAGGCAACAGATCTTGGCCATGGAAGTGGAGGGAAAGGAAATACAGGGCTCGAAGATGACTCAGGTTTGGAGTGTGAGTGACTGGGGCATAATTATCACACACAGTGAGTTTCAGGCCCTCATCAAGTCTTGAAGGATGCTCCTTTCTGGGAACCCTTTCATGTTTTAGAACCTTCTGAACTACGCAATGATAAGAAATCCATGTCTAAATGAATGAGTAAATGAAGGAATGAATGATGAACTCAGAATACAAGAAATGTTTTTCTCAATGGCGATATAAAATTTGCAGGTAGGGATCCACTTTTCTGCAGAAGAGGGGCCATGTACCTGGTGGAATGTATTGCATTTGCCCTTACCCCTGGGACGCCGTAGCATTCCGTCTTCTATTGTGTCTTCTGAAGTGCTCCTTCCTGCACCACTTCTCTTTGCTCCCCCTCCAGCTCCTCTGTCAATCTCTACCTGCAGCACAAACTCCCTTTCAGTAGAAGGAAGCGCCCTCATAGTGGAAGGCACTTGGGGAGTGAGGTAACAGGGAAGACCCCTGTGACCGGCAGAAGTGCCGGAGCAGACTTTTGAGGTGTCTGCGGAACTTGACCCCAACGAAGACGTAGAGCACTGGATTGAAGCAGCAATGGGAGAAGGCAAAATCGCGGCAGATGAGCAAGGCATAATCCAGCTGCTGGATGAGCTTACAGCTCTGGATGACCTCCAGTTTCAACAGTGACTGCACAAACAGGACCAGGTTGTAGGGAGCCCAGCTGATGAAGTGTGCCAGCACAATGGTGAGGATAAGCCTGACTGTCCGGTGGTGCCGTTTGGACCGTGACCGGAACAGGGTCCTGAGAATCTCCACGTAGCAGAACAGGATAATCCCCATGGAGAGCAGGAAGAAGACGTTGTGCTGGTAGACGGAGGCCAGGTACCACTTGATTTCTGAATAATCACAACGGGAAGTTTCTGAATGAAACACTCTGTGGAAGATGGCATCGGGGATGGAGGACAGGATGCTGGCTGCCCACACAGCTGTGGTCACCAGCACTCGGCATCGGAGAGTGTGGACTCGCAGGGATGAGAGGGGGCTCACCACGGACAGGTAGCGGTGGATGGTCATGATGGTCAGGAATAAGATGCTGCTATAGAGGCTGATGGAAAAGACCATATTGAAGAGCTTGCAGGGGAAGTCTCCCAGCAGCCAGCCCCAGTGGTATTCCAAGACCCACAGAGGCAACAAGCAGGAGAACACCAGGTCTGAGAGGCACAGGTTGAGGATGAAGATATTGGTGAGGGACTCCAGGCTTTCACACTTCACCAGGACCCACAACACCAGGCTGTTGCCCACCAGGCTGAGGAAGAACACCAGGCTGTACAGGATGGTGGTGCTTAAGGCAGCAAAGGTGAAGATCTGCTTCTCACACAGAATGCTCATAGTATCGTAATAATAAAGAGAAGTGGTGGACTCTGGGATGCCTGAGGGCTCCATCTAGACATTGAGAGCATCTGAAGTGATAGAGACATGGAGTTGAAAGGCACGTGGTTAGGCTACAGTTCCAGAGAATTCACAATACAGAAATGTGTGGTCCATGGACCTGCTGGTGAACTATTTGTAACGAGATTAGGATCTTTCACCAGAACACGAAGTCATTAAGCATACTCTTTAGTTTGGTTAGCATTCTTTCTTAGCAAGGTTTTCTTGATGAAGGAAGGAGTGCATTAATTTTTACATTCTGTCACAAGCCCCTTTTCTCCTTAAAGATTGGCATTTGAGTAGCACGAAGCTAGACCAGTCTCCTAGTAGGCACAGGAGAAAGTAGTGGAACTGGATTCAAAGATCTGAAATCAAATTTGGGCCCCATTACTGTGCTCCTGGGCAAGCCATTCAAGCTTTTTGAAACTTTGGTCCTCATCTACAAAATAGGGCTAAGGATCCCAGAGCCATTCCCTCATTTACTCAACAAATATCTAGTGAGCATTTACTATGTCTGCCTACTTCCCTCCCCCCTTCTCTCCCTCCATCTCTCCCTTCCTTTCTTTCTTCCTCCTTTCCTTCCTCCCATAAAATGTAGTAGTCATGATGGCAGGATTGTTTCAGGAAACTTGCTGTCTCTTGAAACAAGTCCAAAAAGAAATTATACAAACAGAGGCAAACGTCTCTCATAAGAAAGGGCTAGAGAACCAGAGCCCCAAATTCTGTGTATACTCGTATTTCGAAAGTATAATACATTCTGACCAAGTGGTGTTTATCCAAAAAATAAGAAATTGGTTTAATATTTGAAAAGTCAGTCAATTTAAGTCACCATATTAACAGAATAATGACAAAACAATACAATCCTTTTTGATAAATATAGAAAAGCATTTGATAAAACTCAACACCCATTCATAACATAAACTTTCAGCAAATGAGAAGTATTGGACATCTACAACAACCATTCCACTTTTTCTGTTTGTTATTCATTCACTTACTCAAACTTTCAGAGGCACTCATGGTCTGGACCTGGGAGGCCTTGGGGATACAGGGAGAATGTTGCCAAACCCCAAACTACTCCAAGTTACATTCTAGTTTGGGTCCCTTTTGCCTATCGTTGCTCTCCCTCCCCATCTCTGTGGCTCACTCAACTCTAAGAGAGTACATTTACCTGTGGTCCATGATGTAATCTGAATTATGTTGAATTTTAATTATTTGAATTTGAATTGAGAAACACAGCTCTAAATGATCCAACTACCAATAATAACAGCACCTACATAACGACTTGTAACCAAATAAACCCCTCTACTTTCTTTAGCATAAGGAAAACAAAAGTGTTATAGATGACAGTTCTATTCCAAGTACCATCCACTGACTAGCTTTCTAGCAATGCACATTTTGGGGGATCCTCAGCCCTATGGAATCAGAGCCTCGGGAATCTGCATATTTATCAGCGCTCCAGGTTGTCCTGATGTACACTAAAGTCTAAGAACTCCTGGCATAGCTTATTAAAATTAGAGAAAAACATATTTGAATGGAACTCACCTATAGCTACACCTCTTTATGCGTGTCTTGAAGCAGAAATGGTGCTTCGCTGTTTCATATTTTTGTTCAAAGAAACGGAAACACCTGCCCTGCCCAGAAGGCTGGAGGAAGGTGGGAGAAGACTATTGCGTGGAGTTTCAGAGGGAACCTTCACCACTCCCTCCTCTCCCCAACACAAGGCTTCCTGGTTTGATACACCTCCACTCCCACTGCTCCCACCCAAGCAAGACCTCATGTTAGAACTTGGCTACAGCAAGTTCTTAGCTTCTCTGGTCACACAGAGATGATCTGGATACCAAACCTGTCTCCACAGGCAGGTGGGGTTGACAATTTAGGGGTCTTTTGAGCCCTTGGGTTCCACCAAGGGTCAGTGCAGGTAATTTTGAAGTTAGAAGGAAACTTAAAGGATAATGCATTTTTTAAGCTGTACTATTTTTATCAAAAATCATATTTGATTAATGTACCAGTTGTGTATGATTATGATTGTTATTATTTTAAATTGAGATAAAATTCAGGTAACATAAAATTCACTATTTTAAATTGTAGAATTCAGAAGTTTTTGGCATATTCACAATGTTGTACAATCGTCATTACTACCCAATTCCAGAACATTCCATCAACCCCCCCCAAAAAAATCCCATACTTGTTAGCAGTCAATCCCACTCCCCACCTCCCTCCATCTCCTGGCAACCACTAATTTACTTTCTATATCTATAGTTTTATCTATTCTGAACGTTTTATAGAAGTGAATCATACAGTATGTAACCTTCTGTGACTGGCTTCTTTCACTTAGCATAATGTCTTGAAGGGTCCTCCTTGTTGTACCAGGTGGCAGTACTTCATTCCTTTTTATGGTTGAATGATAGAATAATGTGGTTGAATAATTCCACTGTATGGATCAACCACATTTCATTATTCCAGTCATCAGTTGAAGGGCGTTTGGGTTGTTTCCACTTTTTGGCTATTATGAACAACATTGCTCTGAACGCTCATGCACACGTTTTATGTGGACCTATATTTTTAATTCTCTTGGGTATATACCCAGGAGTGAAATTTCTGGGTTGTATGGCACCTCTGTGTTTAACTTTTGGAGGAACCGCCAAACTGTTTTTCAGAGAACTTCTCCATTTCACTTTCCTACCAGTATTGAATGAGAGTTTCAATTTCTCTACATCTTTACCAACACTTGTCAGTTCCTTTAAAAAAAAATTACAGGGTATGAAATGGGAACTTGTTATGATTGAGATTTACATTTCCTTAATGAATAACAACACTGGGTATCTTTACATGTGCTTATTGGTCATGTGGGTATTTCTTTCGGAGAGGTATCTATTCAGAACCTTTGCCTTTTTAAAATTTGGGTTATTTGGCATTTTATTATTAAATTGTAAGAGTTATTTATATATTCTGGATACTGAACTCTTATCAGATATGTGATTTGCAAAGAACTTCTCCCATTCTTGTGGGTTTCTTTTTAATTTCTTGATAGTATCCTTTTACACACACAAGTTTTTAATTTTGATGAAGATAAACTTATAGTTTTTTTTTGTTTGTTTCTTGTGATTTTGGTGCCATATTTGAGAAACCGTTGTCTAACCCAAGGTCACAAAGATTTGTACCTATGTTTCCTTCCTAGAGTTTTTTTTTAGTTTTTAGTGCTGAACTCTAAATTATATTCCATTATTCCCTAGGTCTATTCTTAGGCCAGCACTACACTGTTTTGATTATTGTAACTTTGTAGGAAGCTTTGAAATTAGGAAGTAAGTATCCTCCCACTTTGTTCTTTCTTCTATTTAAGATCGTAAATATAGATAAATTGAATATGATTGAGAGTGGTTTCAACAAGTGTGTCAAGACCACTGAGTGGGGGAAGAACAGCTTTTTCAGCAAATGGTGCTGGGATAACTAGATATCTGTCACGTCCAGC